TTTGTCAGAGTTTTCTTTGTGACTGATTCTGCGCCTTTTCCTCTCTATTTAGTTGGAACGCACTTTTATTGCCATCAAGCCTGATGGGGTGCAAAGAGGACTGGTATGATGCATTCAAATTATTCTGTCGTCCTACAGGGACACCTTGCTTATTTTGATTTCCGAATTGATTACCAACCGTTTAACATGGCGCTTGACTGGAAACTTCCCTCTTGGAAATATGTTATACACTTTTCTGTTCCTTTTTACTGATTTTGTGTATTGGTGTCCTCTCTTGAGAGAATAGGCCTGGATTGTGCTTTTCAATTCAGTTCATCATCTAGAAATGGATTATTTTTCATGTTCTCTGTATCTCATTGAGCATCTTTGTTTGATCTAAAAATGTGTTCCTGAGTTTCAGATTGCAGAAATCATATCCCGCTTTGAACGCAAAGGTTTCAAACTCGTGGCAATCAAAATTGTGGTTCCTTCGAAGGACTTTGCACAAAAGCATTATCATGATCTCAAGGAAAGACCATTCTTTAATGGCCTCTGTGACTTTCTAGGCTCTGGTCCTGTCATTGCAATGGTAAGATGAACCAAACTCTGCCATGCTCTGTTTGACTACTTATGCAACCGACAAAAACTTTTGAGCGCATTTTTGCTCGTTCAGGTTTGGGAAGGCGAAGGAGTAATAAAATATGGCCGGAAACTTATTGGTGCTACAGATCCACAGAAATCAGAACCTGGAACCATTAGAGGTGACTTAGCTGTTGTGGTTGGAAGGTAAGATTCTATATGTCAAAGTGGTTTTGTTTTTCTATAAGCTGTTTGGTCTTTAGAATTACGTGCTTAGTATGTTTGGACGTGTCGAATTTGTATTGGCTTTCATGCTTTCAGAAATATTATTCACGGAAGCGATGGCCCTGAAACTGCGAAGGATGAAATCAGCCTATGGTTCAAGCCCGATGAGTTGGTTAGCTACACAAGCAATGCAGAGAAATGGGTCTATGGAGTCAACTGAGCCAATTTTTTTCTTTAATTTACCGTTTCTTCTGCAACTTCTGTCCACGTCAAAGAGTGGATAAATACAAAATTATCAAAATAATGTGCATGTGTTTGGGCGAGGAACAACACATTAAAATAGTTTGGTGGAACAAACTCGCTGTGAAAATCATAGCAATAATTTGTTTCCTCAAATTAATTAGCACATGACTTAGTTCAATGCAGTTTTACCTTGACAGTTCGTTTCTCTACCTATGACCAACCGCTAATGCATCATGAATGATGCACCTTTGAAGACGGTATTGGATCCATGAATGATGCATTTATTACCGAATACGATGTACAATTACCGATATTATAGCAATGCGATTAAAATGCAAAACAACCTCTTTGTAAGTACTTCAACACTATAGTAAAATTGGAGTTCTCTCCATTATCAAATTCAGGATTCGAATTTTGGGTCTAGGTGAAAAGAATGTAAAGAGGGATGAAAGATAAAAGATAAATAAAAATAATTATTATTGAAGAACAACATCCCGTCGAAACAAATACTAGCACTATAAAGAGAATAGGGGGTTAGATAAATACAGAGGGTTGAAACAAATACTAGTACTATAAACAAAAGAGGGGTTAGATTCCTAATGGGGGTTATATTTGCTCCTGAGAATTCATACGTACATCTTAAGTGATGATAAGAAGGGCACTTTAACTCGTAGAGGGGTTAGGTTTGCTCTTAAGAACTCGTATGTATATCTACAATAATCAAGCGGCAGCAGATGATTTGGTGTAAATAATCTGTTGTCACTTTCTACAATTTTTTTTTTATCCGTCAAATAACTTTTCACCATTAACCCACTTCGACTCAAGTACTGACATCATACAACAAATGAATTACATGTTTATCATTTAAACATAACCTCTGAAAGATAATTGCATGATTTAATTTTTTTTTTGTTAGATTTTTATGATTTTTTGTATTAACTTTTTTAATTTTTCTGCTACTATATTTTGTTATCAAATAATGAATTTACATTCATCAAGTCAACATAAGTTTTTTTTTATCACTTGCACACATATCGAGTATACATTGATCGCTAATGTGTTAGTGTGTGTATGTGTATGCACACAATAATAAAGTGAAATGAGATAGTTTGATATAAACAATCAATTGTTACTTTTTAGAATTCCTTTTTTCACTCTTCGAATTATTTCTCATGAGTAACTTGGATCAATTCAACCACTAAAGTCACACAACTAATGAAATACATATATATCATTTAAACATAACTACTTACAAATATTTACATGATTTTATTTTTTGTTTGATTTTTATAATTTTTCTGTATTAAGCTTTTAATTTACTATAACTAGATATTATTGTCAAATAATGAATCTACGTCCATTAACCCAACAGAAAAGAGTGTGCATCGATGGCTAATATAATATCCTTATCCTTATACTATATAAGAATGAGTTTAGGGCTTGAATTTCAACCGCAAGGGTGGGGCTTTTTTGAAAATATGAGAGTGTTTGAAATGCAATTAGAGTATTGAATATGAGTATTGTAATTATTTGGATGTCCTTTTAAACATTTAAAACTAAGGATAAGTTTGATATGTGACATTGTTTGATATCCGATTAAACATTGGGTACAACTGAATTCAGCTTGTGTTTTAATGAAATTACATAAAAGCCCTTCTAATTATTTAATTGTATTAATATCTAAGTCTTTTAATTTCTTAAAGCCTTTCTCATCAGTTATTTGCAAAGTTATGATATATAGATGTTAAGACACAATTAATGTCAATTAGTAGAGAAGTTTGGTTTCTTGGCCGTTATCATAGATGTTAATTCAAATGTTGTTACATTAGCTACTCTTTTTCCCTATTTTGTAACACCTTTTTCAATAGATATGTTTTCTTTAACCAATTTACTTTTTTGTTGTAAAAAATCTGTAATAGTGCAAGTTGTATGTGCAATAATTTTTTAGTATTTTAATTCAACTGCCCATGTTAGACAAGCATGATAAGGAAGAGACCACATTTGTTAATTGTTATTTATGGTTTAAAATAAGTTTATCATCATAAATTTTCCCATTTATAGATTACATCTACTTCTTTTGTTGTTTTAATTATTAGTTAGGATAATTTTCAAATCATTTGTTACTTTATTGACCATTCCATTTAGACAATTTTTCACTTCATCTGATTTGCCAATATGTTTAACTATCTACTTAAAGTTATTTGGCTACAAATTTAAAGCATGTACCTCATTACTTTTAATTATTTTTCTTAAATTGAGTGGATTAAGACGCTTTAGTACTTTTTTGAGGTAATTATTCATCTAAATTAGCATGTTAGTTGTTGTATATCTTTGCAACTAACACAAAACTGATATTTCGTGATTGTAACCCCTATCGAGAAGGAGATGCTTTACTATATGTTCTAAATCATATAATAAATTATAATTAATTGCTTGCTCAATGTGAAGGCCTCGTGATGATATATGTCCTTATAATCAATATAAATTCAAGAATTTGGCTTGTAAGAACCGAAATTCTACTAGTAATGATTTCTTCAAGTATGCTAATTATTCAAATCTCACTTATATGATAAGATAATGTAGTGGATTGCCCTCATAGCAAGATCAAATTCAAACTAAATAACAAATTTTAATATCTCTAAAGTGCATGAGCAGATATAAATAAGTCTTTTATTACACTAGGTTAGATGCAAAGTAGTTGATCGTATCTTATAATTATGTTTTATTGCATATTATATTTTTTTAACTCAATATGTAATTTATAGATTTTTTTAATTTAATATCACATAATAAAATTATCATACTTCAATCTTATACTAGAAAATATCAAATAATAATTATTAACCATCTTTAATTATAGACACTAAACTCCCACGCGTTGCGTGGGCTTTTCCCCCTAGTTTCCATTATAATAATGTAAGAGTAGGGGTTTGGTTTGGTGTATGATAAGATCAAACAATTTTTTTAACTTCCACAACCCATTAAGATAAAAACTACCGTAGCATCTTTTGTAAACCCACAATTAATTTGGATGATAACGGTTACACTGATAAAATTCTCATCGACTATCTACTGATAAACTAAAAACGATTTCAATAAATATAATAAAAAAATTTTACAAATATTTTTCCTATTAGTCGCACACACATTATTATATGCCTTGCAACTAGTAATATATGAAGGGAGAGTGTTGTTATACGGTGTAAACACAGAGTGTTACTTTTTTAAAATTTCTAATATACGTTTAATTATAAGGACAAATTTATCCAAATATATATATATATATTTAAAAAAACCTTTCAAAAACAGGGAATCCCCTGTTTTTGGGATGTTTTTCAAAAACTAGATTTTTAAATACAATAAAAATTTTTAAAAAGTACTCTAAAAAATAATCTAAAAATTAGTTTAAATTTTTTAAAAATTTTAAAAAATATCTCAAAATATATTATAGAAACTTTTCTACTCATAAATATCCCAAAATATATTCTAAAAATCTGCTACAATAAAATTTTTCAAAAACACCCTAAGAAATAGTTAATCCAAACGGAGTTATTTGAATCAGAAGATAGTTATTTGTTTAGTCTTCCACGGGCTACAACTCCCTTGCACCAACTCCCAACTCCCATGTATTATGCTTCACTTTCATTATATATCTATATGCTTTATCTACATTATAATTATAATGGAATTTGACCCATAAAATCCATAAAAAAACACTTATTTGACCCATAAAACTCATAAAAAATTTTTTAAAGAGATAATTTTGATAAATATTAATTGCACATGGGTTAGAGTGTGCCTTAAAGCTTACCATTTTTCCCACCCAAAAAACAAAAAAAACTGAGAACAACGTGGCATCTTGTTATTGGTTAAATGAAGCATGCACCAAGGTTCCGTGGGTGGCTTACGTAGTAATTCACACGATACAAGAGGCTGCACCATGAGATCTACCCACTCGCTGTACAGCCGGACTCGAGCTGGAAATTAAATCCCAATTCATAAGCCGACGGTAAATTCTGGATATTAAAACCCGCCAATCGTTAGAACCCCCTATAAAAATTTTTTACCTCAACCTAAATCGGTTAGTTAAGTCCTTTTCCTTCTTTTCGCCGGTGCTTTTCTCAGGTTCTCTCTCTTCCTCCGTCTTCTACACAACAAACCCTAACCAAAGCCGCCTTCCAATTCCTAACTCAAATTTTTTGTTGGTCTTTGTTTCAACTTCTTAACAGGTATGTTTTCTCCTCAAATCTGAATCTTTTGATAGATTTAGATGTTTTTCCCCTTTTTTTAAATTTATTTTGTTACTTATTGATGCGGCTGTTTTTTTACATGCTTTATTTTATTGTCGTTTTAGTAATAGAATTGTGTTTTATGCGGTTGAAGTTTGAGTGTTTGATTTACGAAGTACTGGAAATTGTTTCTTGATTGATTTTGGATGTGGTCAGAAGTTATGCTAATATTAGGTTATACTGGTTCCTGAAGTTGTATGTCATTTTTTTTTTTGTTTTTTTTTTTACTATTTGGGTGTGGGTAACGGTTGTTTTGCATTTCCCTTTTGCTTCAACCTTTTTTTAAAAATTTTTGAATTTAGGAAAATTTAGGATTAACCAACTTATTATGGTTTCTGGACTTTCTGGATTCATGGCAACTGTTGTAAGTTTTGTCAAGCAATTGTTTGGTTCGGACAGTTTTTTTGATTCTCAGAAATTAGGGAAACTAAGAAAAAATTTCCTGTGCATCATCAAAACCTTGTCATCCTTTGTTGTTTTATCCTGGATGAAAGAACTTGTTTTGATGCATTTTTGTGGTTTGAGGACAAATCCTCTCTTTGGGATTCAGTAGTTCTTGGTTACTGTTTGGGTTGGAAGGTGAGGATTCCTTTCGTTATTGTTGGTTGTAGGACAAAACAGAGACTATTGATGCTTAGTATATTGGAAAATTTCTTGAGTTTGGTTCGACTGCATAACGTGTTCTGAAGATTGCTTGGTAATGACATACTTAATTCCTCAGCTCTTGTGTAGTTGTTTTCTGAGCCCCTTCTTTTTCTTCTCTTACAATTTAGGAATGTGGAAAATTTCTGAAATCATTATCTCTTGATTCTTCATTTGGTTTTTACTTGAGTAAGCTATTATATGATATCCTGTTGTCATTCAATACTGTTTATCGTTCTTTATCATGGCAGATGGCTAGTAAACCGCTTACAAGTGAGGCAATTGCCCTGACAGAGAAGAAAATGGATATGACTTTAGGTGCGCATGTTAGCAATTGTACATATTGCTGCAATCTTTTATTGAATTAATGTAAGAATTCCCAATGGTACTGATGTTAAGGCATATAACTACACAGATGATATCATCAAAATGTCAAAAAATAACACATCTAAAGGCAGGAAGCAGAGAGTTTCAGTAAGAAATATATTTCTTTCGACTTTTCAATGTTGGATTAGTTGGCATTTGGCCTTGTTTAACAGTTTCTTTTTGAACTATTCAGAATAGAAGTAAGAAATTTGTGAATAATGTTACCCAAGATAAAGGGGCAAAGGTGCAGAGGTTTATGGATGCAAGGTCTACCATGAGACAGGTATACTGTTAAGTTGTGCTGATTGTGACATTGATATTTGTGTTCCCTAGAAGTGAAGTGGGGTATCTGGTTTCCAATGACTTGAGATGATTATTAAATTCAAAATTTTCCTACTAGGGTGCCCTTGGTCAGAGGAGGTCCAATTTTCAGGGAAACCAATTCCCTTTGGCAACTGAGGCTGCAAGAAAAGCTGCAGCCATTCCTATCCGTAACAGACCTTTCAATGGGATCAGGGCAGTGAATGTTAATAAGCCGAGGTATGTTGGAATACAAAACGTATGAGCTGTTTCAAATGCAGTGGATGAGAGCCCTGTTATGACAATTATGATTGTCGTGTTTAATAGTTGGCAAAAAATTTATAGATTTGGAGTTTTCAGTCATGCTAATTAATTGTGGTAAACACTTCAAACATTTTGCAGGTAAATCGTGTTCCTCAGTAGTATTCATGGCTTTTACTTCTGCCACTTCTTGTTGTATCAGAAAGAGGATGCCATTGTTGGGACTTTTTGGTTGATGTTAGGACCAAAGCATCTTTTTTATGACTTTAAGCAAGTAGAGTTGGTACACAAGGTTCAGAAATTGTACTCCCTTGGCTTTCGTGATATGCAGCATTTGGTTGGGCTAAAAGTTTGAGCGTCTTGGTTGAAATTGTTTAATTTCTTGAATTGGGGTTATGCTGATTTGGCTTTTTGGAGCTAGTAAGAATATCAGTTCTTCAGTTTAAGGTGAAGTGTAAGCTTTTATGGCGAATATCAGACAAGAAGAGAATATGCACATGATGCTATATTGCATCTAAGTGGTTTGCTTTGTCATTGACAGAGTCGTCTTGATTATTTTGCTTTACGTTATTGGGGTAAAGTATGAGCTGGTTTGCTACCCTGCATAACTGGTAGATGTTTCTAGAGTTTAATTGATTGAAGGGGTACCTCAAAGAAGCTTTTGTGAATCTCCATTTGCTGATGAAGTTTGAACTTTTGCTGAAATGCATGTTATAAGAGCCAGTGATGTATTGGTATTGATGAGGTCACATCTTGTTATATTGTGAGGGCCGACAAAAGCAGGATAGTGAATACCTTTCTGTCTTCTGTGTTGTCTTCAGGGGAATGGAGTACCAAGATCTCTTTGCTATTTCAAATTTCCTCTGGCACATAAAATGCATTACTCTCCAAAGATTTTGCAATTCTTGGAGCAGTATTCTTGATGCTTGTATTGGTTGTTATATATCAACCTTGAGTTTATATTTTTCCCAGGCCGTGTGCTTAGTATGCATTGGGTGTTGATTCATTTCGGTGGCTGGATGCGGAATTTTCTATTTGTTGTATTTTTTCTCATCTTGGGAGGGAAGCTGCATGGGTAGTATTATCAACTTGTCTGAATTGTATGGTGTTGCATATTGAATGCTTGGAAAAGCCTGTCAAACTTGCTTCTGGGCTTGTAATGATAGTCGCTGCTGAGGAGTCAGTGGAGCTTGTATTCTGTAATTGGGCAGATTGGATAATGTATTAAATTTCTGCTTCTGTGGAGGTTATTCATATGTACCTAGCTTATAGCATATTCAGTTTGAGGCAAGACTGGCTGAAGGCAAAAGATCCAGGAATCATCGTGATTGTAACTTGTTTTATACTGTTTATGGTTTGTCTTACACTTGTGTTAGTTGGAAAATACCTTAAACAGTGAGGGTAAGTGTCTCTAACATGTGGGTGGTATTGTTGCTGACCTCGAACCTCCAGTCATGCTTGAAAGCTTGGTTCATTTGGTGAATATTTCCTTTTGGACTTTCAATCATGGTTTGTATATTTGTGCAGGGTTGGTGCTCCAATGGTCCAGAGAAGGGCTGTGAACGGGGGTGGCTTTAATATGAAGGTATACACTTCTTATTTTTCAAGAAATTGTTGGTGGCTCCTTAAATGTGACCAATCTTGATGGATCTCATTGGGAAGGATTGGCTAATTCTTTTTCCTCTGTTCAATATTGCGTATATAGTGGCAACTATTATGAATTCAGTTCACTACCAACCAATGTAGGACCTTTAATGTGTTTGGGTAGGACCACATTGTATCTTAATCAGCTATTGGGGCCTCTTCGACTTGCCCTATTTGTTCTTGGGGGTTGTACTTGAACAGGTCAAGTGATGTTTGACAAAGCTTCTTTTTCTTGTGCAGCAATCTCAGCAGCAGGTCAAGGTGACACCAAAGCAGAGGCCACAGACTCTAGATTCATTGTTTGCAGACATGAAAGAGCAAAGGATGAAAGTCTTGTCTCAACAGAACAACCCTGTAAAAAGAAATGGTGGTGGCCAACGATTACCTCCATGGCAAAGAGCTCGTTTTGGCAAGTGATACCAATTCATGCTAGAACATCTAGATTTCCTAGGTTGCTGGAGGAAGGTGCTTGTACTTTAATAAGAAGGTTTAGAGTTTGGGGAACAGCAAACTGCTGTTAGTTTGGATATAACATTCTATAAAGTTGATTTGCAATGTCCCAGCAACATTCTCTTGCTTTGGGGTTCAAATGTTATGTATAGCATTTTTTTTTCTTTACAAGTCATGCTTTTTATCAATGGTTGGATATTCAGGCTTTCAGTATGGGTACTGATTTTTTATTTGCAATGCAACAAGTTCATGTAGTCTTTTGGCCCACAGAATGCAAGGCATACTTCCAGGCCTTGTGCTGCTGGATGATGTGTGTGTTGAAATTAGGATTCTGGTGATGGTTGACTAGGTGTTCCTTCCGCAGCTTGGCTGTAATTGGAATGCATCATAGTCCCGGGGTTATTATTGATAGTAGTCTTGCATTAGGTGGTCTAGAGGAGATTGTTGATGATAGCCTTGCATTAGGTGGTTTAAAGCTCATCTATGGGGGGAAAGATTCGGTCAATGGGCCAGCCAGGAGTTTTTTTCGGAAAGCTTTTCATATTGTTGCTCCATGTGCTTTTTAGTCCAGGAGATATAACAGGACGTCCGTACTTCGAGGGAGGAGGGTTTTCTATTCATATTGTTGCTCTTGTGCTTTTCTTCGACGGACAGCTGATCGGAACCATTTCACCTCCTCGTCTTTTTGCTTACAACGTTACTCTGCCTGCGTGCTGGTGTCTTGTGTCAACTTAAATTTTGTGAGGTAGCCTTGTGCGAATGCACCAGTTGTTTTAATAGCGGTGCTATATTTTTTGTTCCAGCAATTACGATGAGAATTAATTTCAGTCATGGAAACAAAAAAAAAATTAAGCCGCAAAGTTTGGGCATATTACTCCTTGTTCCAGACAAATTAGAAAAGGGATAATTTCACAAACTCCCCCTGAGGTTTCTGACACTTGCACTGAGACCCCTCCAGGTTTTAAAACTTTCACCTAGCTCCCTTGCTTTTCAAATTTTGATAACAATTCAGTCCAATTAGGATTAAAATATTACTATCATGATAGAGATGACATTTATATTTCATGAATACCCTCTTCTTCCCTATATTAGTACAAGATTGCTTGTTAATAAAAAGGTAGAGATGATTATTAAAGTTGTAGTATGTTTTGTACCAACTCTTTACGAGAAACATACCATCTCTTTATGGGAAAAATTGGTTAAATAGCGCTCAAAGGAAAACTAGTATGTTTTGTATTTAATATAAATTAAATATGTGAAAGTTTAAAAAAAAAAGAAAAGAAATTGCCCATAACATACTAGTTTTTTATGGGAAACTGACAGGTTTTATAGTATATTTTGTACCAACTCTTTATGGAAAACATGCCAGCTCTTTATGAAAAAAATTAGTTAAATACAGTTCAAAAGAAAACTAGTATGTTTTGTATTTAACATAAATTAAATATGTGAAAGTTGAAAAAAAAAAAGAAATTACCCATAACATACCGGCTCTTTATGGAAAACTGACAGGTTTTGCAGTATGCTTTGTACCAACTCTTTATGAGAAACATACCAGCTCTTTATAGAAAAAATTGGTTAAATAGCGCCAAAGAAAAACTAGTATGTTTTGTATTTAACATAAATTAAATATGTGGAAGTTAAAAAAAAGAAAAGAAATTGCCCATAATATGCCAGTTCATTATGGGAAATTGACAAGTTTTATAGTATGTTTTGTATCACTTCTTTATGGGAAACATACCAACTCTTTATGAAAAAAAATTTAAATACCGCTCAAAGGAAAACTAGTATGTTTTGTATTTAATATAAATTAAATATGTGAAAGTTTAAAAAAAAAAAAGAAATTGTCCATAACATACGAGCTCTTTATGGGAAACTAGCATGTATAGTATGTTTTGTACCAACTCTTTATGGGAAACATACCAGCTCTTTATGAAAAAAATTGGTTAAATAGCGCCCAAAGAAAAACTATTATGTTTTGTATTTAATATAAATTAAATATGTGAAAGTTAAAAAAAAAATAAATTGTCCATAACATATCAACTCTTTATGGAAACTGGCAAGTATTGTAGTATGTTTTGCCTAGGAGTAATGGTTTTTTAATCACTTTCATTAGACATTAAATTTCGATTATTCTAGTTAAATGTAATTACCAACCTCCAGATGCATTTGTCAATGTAGTTAATGTCAGTCATCTAAACCATCCTCTGAGGATAAATAGGTCATTTCAGCGCTCTGCATGTCAGCAATGGACCACAATACTCTGCTAAGGGAGCTAGGTGAAATTTTTAGAACCTGGAGGGGTCTCAGTGCAAGTGTCAGAAACCTCAGGGGAGGTTTGTGAAATTATCCCATTAGAAAATGATACGCAAAATGAAACTGGAGGATGCGGAGCGGGAAATTGTTGTACTGCATCGCTTTGTCTAAAAGACTATTGAAAAGTAAAGAAGCGGGTGGGGGTGTAGCTCATATGGTAGAGCGCTCGCTTCGCATGCGAGAGGCACGGGGTTCGATTCCCCGCACCTCCATTTTTATTTTAACTCTTTATGATTGTTGTGTGAGTTGATTGACAAACCGCTGAGACTGTCCTATCGCGTCCCCGCCCGTCTATTCAGTTCATCTATCTGTACATGTACTGACCACCTCTCATTCCTCATCTTCTACCACAAAACACCTACCCCCTTCGCCACCATACACCCACAGAAATGGTGGAGAAACAGCATCAGCATCAAACTCCATTTCAGAGCCCACCCACACCCAATTTTTCAACACCGTCCCAGCAAGAAAAGCAACCACTTTTCTAGCTTCAACCACCTTCCAAAATCCCCATAACATTGTAATTTGTGACCTGGTGTAAAATTATGAGCTTAAACTTGTTATGTTCCTGCCTCCCTCTCCCTTCTTCCCACAAATTCCCCTGCTACTACTCTTCAACAAGCACCTGCCCCACCACTCTCTTCTACATCTTCTTCCACAATACCACAACAACAACAACAACAACTGCTACTACTAGTAGTATTGCTAAAAAACAAGCCTTTTCTACATTTACAACTAAAGGGTCCGCCAATGAGTCAGCCCTTCCTGCAAATGGGAAGGTACTGCTCTCTGAATTGTTGGATGAGGAACTCCTTAACTGGGTCTCTGCAGCTGAGGACGCAGCCCAAGTGTTGAATAGAATTGCTGAGAGAACTAATAGAAGCAGCGGGGTTGTGACTAGTTCAGATTGTTGTTTGATTATCTCTGCGGCCATTGATCGTGGCAATGCTAACTTGGCTCTTGCTGTTTTCTCTGCCATGCGCTCCAGCTTTGATACTTCAGGTCTCTCTCTCTCTCTCTCTCTCTCTCTCTGTGTTTCCTACTTTCTTGGGCTTCAGAAGAAAAGTATCTATCTTTTCCTTTACGAGCCAAGGCTTACAGTTGCACTGGTTAATCACTTGTTAGCATTCTGTGACGACCAATTTCAGTTCAGGATTCTTCTCAATCTTATGTATTCCTTGAGACTCTGTTTTAGATTGTTTATATAGTATCGTTTTTAACATTACGAAGGGGCATTCCCAAAACTTTGATTTGAGGTGCAGATATTGGTGAGAAAAGTCCTTCTGTTGAAAAATGGAAGTGGCCGAGGCCAGATGTAAATACTTACACTTCACTCATTCAAGGTCTTGCATCCTCGCTTAGGGTCTCAGATGCCCTCAGAATCATTACCAGTGTTTGCCGTGTTGGAGTATCGCCCAGTGAGGAGGTATATATATATGGATCCTGTTACTCCTTGTGCCAAAATGTCATTGCTGATCTTTCTTCAATGCATCCTTATGTATTGGTCTACTACCACGTCAATCAAATCTGGATAGTCTTTATTTTTATGTCACCAAATGATCTGTCTCTTGGAATGGGGGAGTCTTGGGAATCATGGAATTTAAAATGTAACTCAACATAATTAGTCAGCTAATTATCAGTTGTACTTGAAGCAGTGATTCTGGCATCTCAGATTCGAATACTTTTTTGAGCTAACAAACAGCACGTATGCTTCTAGGTCCCTTTTGGTAAAGTTGTCAGATGTCCAATTTGTATGGTCGCTGTTGCTGTCGCTCAACCACAACATGGTATTCAGGTACCCCCATTAGAACTGGATCAGATATTCTATCTTTCTCCCATTTGTCTTCATTGGTGAAAAGAACTTGGATGCTGGCAGTATGTAGTGAATCTGGTGGAGATCGATACTAGCACATTTTATAAAACAGTAGTGTGTTGGTTAATCAACTACAGATTAGTTGGTAGAAATTTGCGTGAGAAAAAAAAGGAGACCAAATATCCCTTTTCTTTTTGGTTTTTGCTTTTACTACATTGCATTCTTAGGAAGAAAAGAAAATTTTACCTTGAGTTTGAGACACAACATAAAGGGTGATAGATTTCAATTTTTTCCAAGAGTTCAAAAATCCCTTTTTTATTTTCAACTGTGCAGATTGCTTCCTGTTCAAAGTGCCGCTACCAATACGAGCTTGTTTCAGGCACTATTTGCAGTATAGACTCTGAAGAAATTAGGTTGGTTATGATGTTTTCTTTTTTGTTTTTAATGAGCTTTTTTCTGTCTGTCAAACAGACATTTTGGTACATATTTACTTTCTTGATACCTAGAAAAGAGACTTGATGTCAATCACTCAATGGTTTTCTTACAATGTTGCGTTCTTTGTCATTGGGGACCTTTAGATGCTGACTTTGCAATTATTACAATTGCATGTATGCAAGTATGTGTTCGACATATCTGACATCCTTCATTTAACTCACCTTTTCTTATTTCTTGGAATGTTGAGTAATTGTGTTTGATGTTGATCTTGGCATATTTACTTTTTCTAAGGATCTCCTACTGCCGAACGCAGCGTGGATGTTCCAGCATGGAAGAGGGGGCTAAGATTTTTGCAAATCGCAAAGCAGAACATTCCAGCTGCTGTTCATTCCGTTGTGGTGCATTTCTTTTGAACTTAATTACATTTAAATTGTAGCATGAATTTGTAGTTTTTTCTTTTACTGCAAAAACTATTTACACACAAATATTTGAATCCTAATGAATTTCCATTGACATAAATGTTTTGGATCATTAGCACAATTTACCTCAGAAGACAAGTGAAGTATTATTTCTGTCGTCTCATCAACAACTCCCGGACAACATAATGTTATTGCTTACCTAACAGAATATTTTGGCCTGGGACTGAGTAGCACTCCTTGTCATTTTATTCTCTTTACAGATGGAGACACCCTCTGGCATGGCACGGACACACAGGTTTGCTACTGAAACTGTTGATCTCCCTGCACAAGAAGGAGAAAGAGTGACCATTGCTGCAGCTGCTCCAACAACTGTCTACAGGGAGATTGGTCCATTGAAGTTAAGTCCAAAAGCCCCCAATTTCTTCCCTGGAGAACCTATGTGCCTGACAAACCACACCAATGGTCGAGAATCACCATTATTAAGGGCACCTGCAAAAGATAAGGGAACAACCTTAATGAATCCCTCTGTTCTCTTTCCTCTTCTTGCTGTGGTTGCCTCTGGAGATGCTGCCTCTGGGATCATAGACTCCAACTTGCCTCAGTTAATTTTGGTTGCTGCAGCTTCCTCGCTTGCCCTTGGAGCCACTGTGAATAGCCTGGTTTTTCCTCAGTTAAGCAAGGCAAGTACATTACTGAGTGCGTGATTGCATCTAATGTCCATTACTTGCCATGTATTGACAGATGAACTTATGACATGGCTATTTCTAATATGCTACACGAAAACACTTGAATATATTAATGTCTTGCCATCAACCAATTGGCCTAGTGGTAGAGTGATACACTCTTGATTCTAGAAACCATGGTTCAATCCCTGGTCGCATCATATCAGAAGTATTTATGTCATTGTGAAAATTTGTAGGTTCGTATCTATGATAATACCACTAGTTTCTTTTAATCTTTGCTTCAATGTCTCTCTCTCTCAAAAGACTTTCTCATTCCCTATAATCATTCCTTTCACGAGTAAGTTCAAGGACATTGTAGTAATTTTTTTCTATTTTGCTTCTTCTTCTTCTTAATCTTTTCTCCTTTTTGGTCCAACCTATTTGAACTATCCTGAGAAGTCGTAATCTAAATCTGATTAATTATCTGTAAGAAAATTAATGATACTTGTTATTGGATGTTTAACATTTCTTGTTTGGCCAGCTTCCTCAAAGATTAGTGGACACAATTGCTATCAAGCAGCAACTGCTATCTCAGTATGATTTACTGCAATCTCGAATCAAGGAGTTGAAGCAAGCTGCTGAAAACGAGGTATTTGCACTTAATATTCTGCAGTCATGTGAGGGCCTTTTTACTTGTTTGTATGCATAAGGCAATTCAAGTTCATTCCCATTGCCCTTTCCTTTGATGAAGATAATACTGGCTTTATAGATTAACTACTGTGATTTTACAATTCTGACTTGAAATTTGGAAAAAACTTTTACTTTCTGATCATTGTGAGAGGACCCTGACCAGAGCACTGTGCAGCTGTCAAAAACTTTTTAACAAGAAAAGTTAAGCAGAAAAAGTGGATTAGACATAAGAATGTCATTAATATGCTTCCACAAAATTGGATGATCCAACTTATTTTCATCAGATTTCCTTCTATGTATATTACAAGCGTGTGACTGTGCTGATGAGCTAGACATTGATTTTTTTCTATCTGCTACTTTTCTGATTTGTTTCTTTGTTTTGGGACGGTCTATTTATAGGTTTGGATGTTGGCTCGCATGTGCCAATTGGAGAACAAAATTTTTGCTGTTGGGGAACCTTCCTATCGGTAAATCATTAACATCAGCTGAAACCAGATTATATTTGAGCTACTACGGTAGAAGGCCTCCTTGTTTCTTTTTTTCAAGTGTTAATGAAATTTTGTCTTCGTCTCCAGAGCACGAAGAAGTAGAGTCAAAAGGGTTCGTGAAGGACTGGAGGGTTCCCTTAAGAAAAGGATTGAATTGATTGAGAGCTATGCTAGAGTAGGTTACTTCTACAAAAAATCTCATAGCATGATATAAAATAGTGGCCTCTTTGCTGCAGAGTGAGATAGCCTCTAAGTATCATATGACATTATGTAATGGTGTTGTACATTTACAGATCTCATCAATGATAGAGATTGAGGTAGAGATGGATTCTGATGTTCTTGCTGCGGAAGCAGCAACCAATGCGGTATGCACACTTGAAAGAAGTTTCTCCACCACTTTTTTAAGTCCAAACGCATGCAAGCTTCATTTCTCTTTGTTCTTGAATCATTAATTTCAGTCGTAGTGTAGTATTACTTGTATGAACTTCCTGTTGTTGTGTGAGGCTTATTGAGTGTTATTTTCTCTTTGCAGGAAAATATTACTGGACAGATACAGCAAATAATGGAGATTGAAAATCTTGAAGAGGCATGTTTTATTACTATGAAGCATATAATCAGGATGCTGTATACATGATATTTTAGACATACACTGTATCAAAACTATTCGGTACAACTAAAATGGGCAATTTAAGTAGGGACTCCTGATGCTGTATATCTCTGCAGTTTCAGTTACATAGAGTGAGATCAAAACAGCAATATGAGATACTAATTTGTTTCGTATGAGAGTCTAAATTATCTATGCTTGCAGAAATGGAGACTCCAGGCAGAGGCAAACGATGAGGCCGAAAGACTTCTTAGTACTGAACCCACATCTGCAGAACAGGTTCTAGACAGATAACGGCCGACATTTTCTAGCCAGGTACTCTGATTATTATATGGTTGCACATCCACTTCCCCATACTTGGCATGCAATAGACTGCTTTAGATGGAATTTGGTAGCAGGTGCATTCCTGTTTAGGATGGCTGATGCATTACAAACATTCTGCCATGGCACCAAGTAGAGCATGATCATGTGGAATGCAAGTGATGGCATCTCAAACCAATTGTTTACACTCGCTAAAGGCTGCGGGCTTCATTGCCCAATGCAGAAAGCAGTTGTATCCTCTATAAATTGAAATAGCATTCTTTCCGGTTCCTGTGGACAAGGAATAGAATCTTGATCCTACCCTCTTCTCCTACATCTACCTTTTTGTTTTCCGAACTATTTCCAAATGGTGTCAAGATTTAGGTTGGATGACTAGATTGAGTGGTTTTGGGCTTCTCTTTCAGTCAAACTTGTTTATTCAAGTGATGATTTCTTCCATGCGGGCGTTTATTACTCTTATCAAAGGTATTCTGTAAGTCGCAGGGTGTGAAGGTCAAAACAGGTGGGACTGTATTTTCCTGAAGGAATCCTTCAACTTTTTGGTGGTACTTCATTCTGCTTTTTGAGCAACTTGTCTGATGCTTGCCACGTTAGAGTTATAGGTGTCAAATGGGTAATGATAAGATGAGCAGGATATATGCCTGACAAATTGAGTTGTTAGTTGCTCCAGCTAGCTAACTAGGTAGTTCAGGCTCATTCGGTGATTGTGGGTCCTGATTCTTGGACGAGTCGGTTTGTAAAACTAGCGTGGGGCATGTTTTGGGCCGCAATAATTGGAAAGCACAAGGATTCTACACTGTACAAGAATAGAATAATTGACACTAAACACTAGAATTGTAGGCGGGTGAAATGGAAATTGGCATTTCTGAATTTTTTTTTTTTTAAAGACTAGCAGCAGCTTACAATAATTAGAGTTTTTTTCCTCCAAGATAATACTAATACTCTTTTCAGAAAAAATTCCCAAATGATTCAATCCCAAGTTTTATTTTCACAATGATGCTTTTTGGCCCATATGAAATGCTAGCCTTAGCTCTACAATAGATGTGTGCTGTGCCTGTAGACTTGCTGGATCATGCTGGAGCTCTGGTCCACTAGCTAAAAAATATTTTGACTAATATCGAAAGATTATGAGGTAGTTATTCTGGGTTTAAGGTTTTCGGCCGCACTTTCAGTTATTAATTGGTTGGATGGTGTTGGTTTGTGGGTTCCACTTTAGATTGTGCTTTGCACCAGGATTTCGATTACCCGTGAGTGTTAATCTAACTTTGTTGTGTGATTTCCAGTAATTTCGGTTGTTGAAAACAAATTGAGGTTAGCCATTTTGAGCCTATGACTCTTGTGAAATTGCAAGTACACCGTCAATCATTTCAAAATAAGGGTATTTGACAATTGGGTTCACCATTTTCAGTTCATCAACATTTGTGATCCTTTAACCAGGCAAGTGACAATTGGGTTCGCCTTTTTCCATCCATCAAGTTTGTAAATACAAGCAAAGGTGGGCTAATATGATACTCCACTTTTGTAGCAGCGGTCCTCTCGTCTTGGCGCGACTCCTTTGGCAACTGGTTTAGCAAAATGGTGATTTATTGGCGCCATCATGCGGAAGGAGGAATATGAAAAATTTAATAGACTGAACTCTTAAAGGCGGAAAAGTGGGTGGTTCTCAAAAAAAGAAAAGAAAGCATATGTGGACTCGATAACCGTGCCTTTATCCTAAAGGCACCTTCCCCAGCCGTCTCCCCCCCTTTCCTCCTTCTCTCTCATATAAATTTATCCAATCCCTCCTTTATTCCTTGTTCTGTGCTTGCTCTGATTCGGGTATCAAAACTTTCCGCATCTACAAACTCTTGTGGCATGTAGCAAGCAAGGAAAGTAGAGAAAATAAATCTCTACCACTTTACAAGTTTCGTGCAATGGCAAAATCCCACTACTGTTAAAATAGAATGAAGCCATCATTAAGTCTTCATTGATACTGCTATTATTGTTTCATAAATTGCTTCAAACTTGTCGCCCCAAAACTTTACAATCAAAAGAAAACTGACCGTACCATTGAAGTTGTGTGCAAATTTAATTGTTCGATCATAGAGTCAAATTTAAACTTGTATGTAGGTCTTATTAAGTCGATCATAGAGTCAAATACCCTCTGTTTCTACTTTCTAGTCATCCATGCCAACTTCTCCCGTCCATCCGGCCGCCCAACCTGCCCCACAGCCCGTTCCACCTAAAACCGACATTTTCTGATCCGGTATGCGTCGGGACCTCCTTAAATGGACGAATAAACGTCTCCCCACGTGGCTCGTGAACCCCAGCTCTCCCCTTCCTTCCCTGCGCTCCAGCTCCTTGTTTTTTAGCCCTTTTCCCCGGTGCTATAAATATAAAAGAATTAAATCATAATTCTATGTGTCACCAGATTCTTGAATTTAGCCTTCTTATTCGCTTCACCAAAAACTTTTCAGCCGTCCCACAACAAAAGCCCAAATCTTTTCAAGCAGTAGTAAAACCTTTTCACCTGCCAAGCTCAACTTACCTACGACAGACGTATATACTACGACTACTAGCCTGCTACTAATTTTTTTTCCCTGGTCCTCACAATTATACTACCTTATATTTGCGTGCTGTGCATAAATGCGGGGCCGTCCATATTGATTCCTGGGACATTCCTTCTTCCCATTGTTCCTATAAATATTCTGAAGTCTCTTTTTTTTCTGCTAGACTGGCAGAGAAAGGAGTACAGATAGTTTTGTATACTGGTTAGGCTCGGGCAAAAGATTGAGCGGAAAAACGATGCCGGAGAAGATGAATATATTGGTGACGGGAGGGGCAGGGTATATAGGAAGCCACACAGTTCTTCAATTGCTGTTGGGAGGGTACAAGACTGTTGTGGTTGATAATTTGGACAATTCTTCCGATGTTGCCCTCAAGAGGGTCCGAGAACTCGCCGGTGAACATGCCTCCAACCTCACCTTTCATAAGGTTGGCTCCTTATCTTATTTTTTTTGGTTTATATTTCTAAGACTAAGATTAGTACTCTTGATTGTCGTCCAATTGTACTGGGTTCTGAATTTTCATAAAGTTTTGGGCTTTGTCGAAATTTGCCACTCGAGGATGCTAGCGGGCAGTTATGATTTTCAAGCTTTTGGACTTCTGCTTTCTGGCATAAAGTTTTTATTTTTGTGGGGAATTTAGTGGATATGAAAAACAGGAATATTATGAGGTTAGAATGAGCATGTTTAACGTTGCAACGCGCTAACATGCTGAGGTAATTGCTGCTTTAGGTCGTTAGGTTAGAAAAATGGAGAAAGGGTGGGTAGAATTTCAAGTTGGTTTAGGTGTTCAGGATACTGGTGAAGTTAAGGTGCTATATCAGTGTAGTTCTCTTTGTTATATTGTGTTAAAAGCTGTTCCATTCGTGCAAATAAATTCTGTTCAAATCTGATAATTCCCTCAGGTTTCAAGAGGATGGTTCTGTTTAACACGTTATTGCTGGTTGTTACTTCATCTGTTCATTTGGATGACACTAAATGCTGTATCTTTATTTTGACTGCAGATGGATCTTCGTGACAAGGTTGCACTTGAAAATCTTTTTGTTTCTGAAAAGTAAGTTCCACCAAATTCTCGCCTTTTATATTCACAATTAATCCAGTACTATTTTTCTCCCCTTTCTTCCCATTGAAACCTAAAGTAAGTTGCTTTGAGCATGTTCTTTGCATTTTAAAGTTCATAAATTTGGTTTGTGAAGGTTAAACCATGCAGCTGAGTGTGTATTGTGTCTGATATTTCAAATTTTAATCCAGGTTTGATGCAGTAATCCATTTTGCTGGACTGAAAGCAGTAGGTGAAAGTGTGCAAAAACCGTTGATGTACTATAACAACAATCTTGTCGGTACAATTACCCTACTAGAAGTCATGGCTGCTCATGGATGTAAAAAGGTTCATCTCTTTACTAGTTTGACATGAGGAGTGTGAAGTAAAATACTGCATTATTCCAGAACTTATATGATGGAGGATAAATTATACTCGAAGAGTCTTGATACTACTATTTCTGGCATTCTATTATTACATTAGCTGATGGTTCAAACCACTCCACCTCATCTGATTTTTTTCTTCCGTAAATATTTCAGCTTGTGTTTTCATCATCGGCTACTGTTTATGGTTGGCCAAAGGAGGTCCCTTGCACTGAGGAATTTCCCTTATGTGCTGTAAATCCATATGGACGAACCAAGGTATTATCTATTCTGGGTTCATGCATAAGCTTTTACTTGCATGTTGGAAACCAAATGATGCACATATCTGGATTAAGAGATGTGCAGCTTTTTCTCATGTCAAGTGGGGAAATCATGTCATGTGCATGTACTTCTTCCCTCTGCTCCATTCTGTGGTAGCAGGGAAGCTTTTCTTCCCCAACCCCCCTCGCCTTGGAAACCATGTTGATAAAGTTGATCTCTGCAGCTTTTTATTGAAGAAATCTGTCGTGATGTGTATGGTTCAGACTCTGAATGGAAAATCATATTGCTGCGGTACTTCAATCCGGTTGGTGCACATCCTAGTGGTTATATTGGTGAAGATCCACGTGGAATTCCAAACAATCTCATGCCTTTTGTGCAACAAGTAGCTGTTGGTAGGAGACCTGCTCTGACAGTTTTTGGAACTGATTACTCAACGAAGGATGGTACTGGGGTACGTACGCATCATTAGTACTAAAGTTCCATTTTCTTGGAATAGTATGCATGCACGCGGCATATATGTAGTTTTCCATGTCCAAGAGCTGTTTCAAATATGTAATTCTGTTATCTGCCAGTATGGTATCTATTTGCCTTGGCCTCTCATCATTTGACAAAGAGAACAAAGTCGCTACACTTTTTTTCTCTTTATCTGGTTATTTCTGAACAGATTCTAGTATACCAACTTTTGAGCTTCCTGTCATTTTGAGTTTTCTGCAAAACAGTTTCAAATTTTGCTGGCCATTCTTTTGTGGATGTACTCTGTAATCTGTATTATTCCCTCTGGAACTGAGGAACATCATGAGAAGTGATACCTGCTTTTATTTTGTTTCGTATATTGATGCTTTCTACATAATTACTTTTCAGGTGCGTGACTACATCCATGTTGTGGACTTAGCAGATGGTCATATAGCAGCAGTTAATAAGCTGTCTGATCCTTCTATAGGTATGTAGGTGATTCACTGCTCCTGTTCCAATTTTATGCCAATTGGTTCATTTGAAAAGGTCGCTGTAATTTTTAAATCGTATCTAAGTCACAGCTTTTGACCAAGCCTGTTGGAGATCAATGTGTATGTTCTTCAATGAGGAAAGGGATATTCTGGATGGGTGGCTTGCATTTTGTTTCATAGGGAGGAATGTTTGCGGAATCATTATATTAGCTTCTTATAACTCTTATGATTGCCCAACTTCAGGGTGCGAAGTGTACAACTTAGGAACTGGGAAAGGAACTTCTGTCTTGGAAATGGTAGAAGCATTTGAGAAGGCATCAAGAAAGGTATTAAATCCTATTGTGTACAATTTATCACATTTGTCCTTTGCTTCAGTTGTCTGGACTTGAAAAAAAAGCTAACCTCTCCCCAAACACCCAAAAACTGACGTTCAGCTAAGCTAGATTTTTTAGTCAGGGGACACGACTATTTTGCTGCTGTCTTCCGTCGTAAACTGATGATTTTTTTTTTTTTTTTTGTGATTGCTTCATCCCCCGTTTTTTTTAAATGGATGTACAATCGAAGACAACCACGTATTAATGCAGTTTTTTTTTTTTGGTGAAGATAAAGGAAACTCTCATGGATGGTTTCTCAAATTTTGACTCTATTTAATTTTATCTTCTGTTTCTATAGAAAATTCCACTGGTGAAAGCTGGTCGCCGGGCTGGTGATGCAGAGATTGTATATGGATCCACAGATAAGGCAGAACATGAACTGAACTGGAAGTAAGTATACATGTGATTTATATTGGAAAAAAGAAGCTCATTTCATAATTGTGTGCTATCCTTGATTGCGTACTGAAAGAAAGCCTCAAGAAGAGGAGAGGATACTGAGGGGTGATGTCATTTTGAATGTATGGCATGCGTTTCAGGCATTTTGAACATAATTGATTTTTGCAGGGCAAAATATGGCATAGAGGAGATGTGCCGAGACCAGTGGAACTGGGCTAGCAAGAATCCTTATGGCTACGGATCACCTGATTCTACCGATTGATTGGATTCTGACATTACATCCTAGAGTCACCACCCATTTGAAGAGCTGTTTGCTACAGAGTCCAAATGCGTGCCGGTCGGTAGGAGTTTGTAGAGCTGTCCCTTTTTTTGTTTTGTTTTCTTTCTTTTTGAGTCCTTTGTAGGTTGGGTAGGCAGATGAGATAGGATTGCAGTTTAACAATAATAATGATACCAGGGATGTCATATGCATGTAATTCTAACATGGCTCACTGCTGCTGAATATATGATGAACTTATATCATCTTTTATAAACAAATGTTCAATAAAAAGGTGATCAGATGAGATGATCCGCCGAGTAGTTTCCTTTCTTTGTGACATTTTGTCTACTGTACCTCGTGTGCTGTAACAAACAATGGATGTAACTTGAAGAATAGTTCATGCTGTCAGTTCCGCAATGATCAGGATGACCATTTTCGGGTCACTCGCATCGTCCTGCTTGGCTTGCATTAACAGATTGATGGATGGAGTTGCTCCTAGTTGAAAATGATGCAAGTGTACGTACCATAACGAATTTGGTCGGACATTTTGAAGCTTCTACGAGCAACAGACAGACATTTCGAAGATTTCTGCCCTTTGGAACTGATCAAGAGTCCGCGCCGCATGTCATTGACTTTCTGATTGGTCTTCTTTTCGCTTTTTTAAATTGCTGGAAATTTTTTTTTTTTTTGTCACGAGTCGGTGCAATGCTCCCTGAAATCGAAATGAAACTCATTTCCCGTCCTGGAACTCACCGACCAAACGCCTATTTAAAATAAATTTACTTGGTCATCTACCGGGACCAAAAAAAAAAAAGGGATAATTTCAGAAACCTCCCCTGAGGTTTCTGACATTTACACTTACCTCCCCTGTAGTTTGAACAATTACACTGACCTCCCCTGAGGTTACTAATCCTTTACAAATTCAGTTCAAATGATTAAAATATTATTTTAGAGAGTGAAATTAGAATTTTGTACCTGATTTGTCCTTTGTGCCACATGTCCAATGAATGGCAAAGTATTACAAATTAATTAACAATTAATAAATTTTAACGAGCGTAGTTTATAGGCAAATACGTATTGTCTATTTAAAGTACCAGTTCTTTACATGTATTTTACTTTCAAACATTTACTTTATTACAAATATTTATTCTCAAATACAGATTTGTATTTACTCTCAAATATTTAATTTTTGTTAAACACAAAACCTACCAGTTTTTCTTCCGTAGAAATATTAATATAACATTTTTTCAATTTCAGTTACAAATATTTATGTATTTAACATAAATTAAATGATTCAAAATAAAATACTTATAAAGAGCTAATACTTTACTCATGTAATGGATGAAAGTCATAAAAAATTAATATTTTATAGGCCATTTTTTTAAAATTTTAATTTATATTAAATAGATAACCTATTGATTTTCTTTTTACAAGAATATTATTGTAACACCTTTTAATTTTTAATTACAAATATTGATATATTTATTGTAAATTAAATATTTAAAAATAAAATACCTATAAAGAGCCGGTACTTTAAATAAATTATGTGTATTTGCCTATAAACTACACCCCTTACTTAAATCAATAAACTACACTCCTTAATTTAAATCAATAAATTATACTCCTTACTTTAAATAGTGTAGTTTATAGGCAAATACGCATATCCTATTTAAAGTATCGGCTCTTTACAGATATTTTATTTTCAAATATTTAAGTTATGATAAATATATTAACATTTGTAATTAAAAATTAAAAAGTGTTAAAGTAAAATTCTTGCAAAAAAAATCAGTAGGTTATCTATTTAATATAAATTAAATATTTTTTAAAAAATAAATGGCCTCATAAACTATTAATTTTTTATGACTTTCATCCATTACATGAGTAAAGTATTGGCTCTTTATGGATATTTTATCCTGAATCATTTAATTTATGTTAAATACATAAATATTTATAACTAAAATTGAAAAAGTGTTATATTAATATTTCTACGGAAGAAAAACTGGTAGGTTTTGTGTTTAACAAAAATTAAATATTTGAGAGTAAATACAAATCTGTATTTGAGAATAAATATTTGTGATAAAGTAAATGTTTGAAAGTAAAATACATGTAAAGATCTGGTACTTTAAATAGACAATACGTATTTGCCTATAAACTACGCTCGTTAAAATTTATTAATTGTTAATTAATTTGTAATACTTTGCCATTCATTGGACATGTGGCACAAAGGACAAATCAGGTACAAAATTCTAATTTCACTCTCTAAAATAATATTTTAATCATTTGGACTGAATTTGTAAAGGATTAGTAACCTCAGGGGAGGTCAGTGTAATTGTTCAAACTACAGGGGAGGTAAGTGTAAATGTCAGAAACCTCAGGGGAGGTTTCTGAAATTATCCCAAAAAAAAAGAAGGGAAAAAGTACTTTAAATAATAATTATATGATTAGCACTGCAACCGGATCATCAATTTCGAACAGCTAACGGCAACACCCCACCATCATCAATGTCGAACAAGCTAACAGCAACTGCCACCCACCGCCACCATAAATGAGTCATGGAAGCGAGCAAGGTAGGCATATTCGAAGAGTCTTCAAATCAAACCAAACTCCGCAAGCTTTGAGCTCCTCCGATCCATCTCCTCTGAAATCTCAATTCTCCGTGATCTTCCAGGTACATTGCCTTTCATAATTCTTCTATCTTTTATACGGCCCGAGATCTTTGCTTCCTTATTCTGCCAAACTCGGCCTCCCTCAACTTCTTCTTTTCCCTTTTTTTTTTCACTAATTTTGTTACCAATCATTTGGTCAAAAGAATTTGCATAATTTCATTGTTTTTGTGCGCGCTTATGGGTATTTTTTTTCCCAGTTGCTTTTTTCGTTGAATTCAGAACGAGCAAAAGTGTTTTCTAAGTGCTCGGCATGCATGATTGTTGCAATATCTGGGACAGTGATTGAAAGCTTTGGCGTTTAGGAATCTAGAAGCAGCATAAGCCACATTATAAAACTCAGAGATATCAAAGTTTGTTAACATCAATAATATTTTCTAAGGCTCATACATTGTAGTTATGATGCGTTGGATTTTTCTGTGTGGAAATCGAAGTATTAGATCTCCATGGGCTCTTCGACGACTTAAAAAGAAATATTTTTTTTGGTCTTCAGTGGCATGGAGGTGATGCGAAGAGGCTGACCTTTTTTAAAACCAATTTATAGTTCAGAAGTTTCTGGTCACTGATGCTCCATGTAGGAAGAGAAAGTGAAAAAGAAAAAGTTTTTAGAGACGGAGAACAATTTAAATTTCTCTTTCTGACTCTGCTTTTGCATAACCTCAATTATTAATTCAGGAGACATTTTTTGCTTTGTATTTTATGCAGTGTACATGGGGGTTTGTCGGAGCTTTCACAGGTTTATTATGTGTTTTGCAGGTATCGTTTGATATTCTATTAGCCAACACTCCATGGATAGAGGTACGTTGTTGAAATCGACTAATCCATGTTGATGTACATGAACTTGATCTGCATTGTAGCTCATTGTTCACTTGAATGTTGCAGATTCAGGAGAACAAATAAGGAGAGAGATGGTAATGGCATCAGAAAGGGAGAATTTTGAGCTTTCAGGGCCATTGCACCTATCTAGTATGGACTGGTAAGACTTCTGGTCTGTCGCGCTTTCTAGTACATATTTTCACAAGAATTTGACATTTTGCATGCATAAATTGTAGGGATGCGTGCCAAATTCCCATTTGCTTGATAAATTCTTAAACCATACATTGATGATATTAACTCAGAGATGATAGCAGTGCCACATCTGATATATCTATTTTTTTTCTTTACTGCAAATTTTGTAGTAGTTTCTATTCTATCCAAGAAAAATTGGATTTTGAAAGTAAGCTCTGTAGATGACAACAATGATCAATCACTACCAGGCAGGTTCCGTTCTAATACATGGAAAATAAACAAGACTTGCAATCCCTTAGAGTTACTGCTTACGATGCTGTTGGTATGGAGGTAGTCATTTGCAACATATTTTGGTATCTAAGATGGTATTAGTAAAGTCATTGCAATAAAGTCATCAGTTTTAGTTTCTACAATCAATCATGGTTGATGATTTTGTTTACTGGTTGCCCTTTATGCATAGGATGCTTGTTTGATAACTCTGATGCAGGATAAGTGCCCTTCTATCCACTTATCTTCTCCTGTTATTGTTCTCCAAAATCTTTGTTTTTAATACTCAAGAACGGTTGGTGAAACCAAGAGTGCTTCTTAGACATAGACTTGCAACTTTTTCATGACGAAAAAGAGAGAATTTTTTTCTTTATATTGGTTTCAGCTTAGGATCCTTGCTGACATAAACTTTAATGTTATAGTTTCTGCTAAGAGAATTGTAATCAAACTCTTCTTTGAGCAGGAAGAGTACAGATTATCGAAGATCTGTTGCAGCTTGTTTGGTACAGGGTGTCTACATTCTGGAACGCGATCGCCAGGAAAAGCGGCAGGGAAGTGAAGCACTTGCTCCTCCATGGTGGAATTTCTTCCATTTTCAATTATGCACTCCGCTTGTTGATGAGGCTGATTCATCTACCTTTGGTGCCATCTATGAATTGAAACACCCAATGCCTGATGATAAAAGTTCAGTTAATGACAGCCCACGTTATGTTATTGCTTTTCGAGGTACATTAACCAAGGGTGATGCATTCTCCCGGGACCTCCAATTGAATGTCCACTTAGTCCGGAATGACCTTCACCAGACGTCTCGATTTGAAATAGCCATTCAAGCTGTTCGGAGCATTGTTGCAACATATGGAAGTTCAAATATTTGGCTAGCTGGACACTCTCTGGGATCTGCCTTGGCATTGCTTGTTGGAAAGAGTATGGCAAAAACAGGAGTCTTACTTGAAGCTTTTCTGTTTAATCCACCATTTGTTTCAGCTCCAATTGAGAGAATAAAGGACAAAAAAGTCAAACATGGGCTTCGAATTGCAAGTAGTGTCGTAACCGCTGGACTTGCTTTTGCTATGAAAAATAGCCACCGGAAGAATCAAACAGGAGATACATTTGTTGCATTGTCAGAATGGATGCCATGCCTATTTGTTAATCCAGCGGATCACGTATGCTCCGAGTATATTGGGTATTTTGAACACAGGAAAAACATGGACGAGATTGGTGTTGGACTAATTGAGAAATTGGCAACCCAGCACTCGCTTGGGGGTCTTGTTATGACCGCAATGGGCAAGGAGGCAGGAGAGCCCCTATACCTTATTCCTTCTGCAAAATTAACGGTTAATTTATCTCCCTCACAAGAATTCAAAGAAGCCCACGGAATACACCAATGGTGGAGGTCTGATCTGCTCTTAGAATTGAAAACTTACAAGTACTGATGGTTGTTATGTTGTACAGGTATTGACAATTTATTATAGAATTATGCTGTACAGGAATTGTCACATAATTCCTGATTTATATTATAAATGTAATACCAGGATCGATGCTAAAATGATTATGGGTTGTGGAATTATTGTGGTGAGATGGATCAAGCATGATCTTCACTTTCACTATTCTGAGCTTTTTATGCAGCCTGACGTGCAGTATTTGAAACTCGAAGCACTCAGTAGTAAGCACATATGCACAGTTTGATCAGGTTTGTTAGTACAAGCATTCTGCAGAAAACCCAGAAATCCATTCATACCTGAAATTTTAGGTTGGCTTCAATGATCGTTGATGGAATTTGTGATACTTTTTGGGCTGGTTGGATTTTTGGTTTGTTGAAAAATTCGGCTCATGTTCAGGTTTGACTCTTTTGGCTTGTGTAATATGCTAATGTACAGCTTCAACCATGGCAATTACGCCAGGCAGCTACCACTTAAAATGGAAATGGACGACCTGAAAAGCCCGGGTGCTGCTTTGGCTAATCAGTGCTGATCTTAACCATACGTCCTCGAGTGTGATGTCGTCTTGAATCTTGAGGATGCTATTAAGCGGTAGTGGGACAAAGATGAAATTTGACGTATGAAAAGTGAATTTCTGTTAAATTCTTAGCTGCCTGCCTGCCTTGTTCATTTTTTAGGTCCCAAGGAGCAAAGCACGGGAACATTCAAAAGAGACGGTAGTGTTCTTCCTGTGCCCTTTGTGTTGTGGTTTCTTCCAAGTTCAGGATTTACAGTAAGGCTCTTTTCTGTGCCATGAATATGATAAAGCTCTTTCTTTTCTGCTCAATTGTTTAAAATACGTTCCATGATTCTGGACGACAATGGCATAGCCATATTTGTCGTTGTAAAGGGTCTACCTTGTCAATAACACATTCCACGTTTTCTGCATCAGATTGCAGACAAATTAGTCCTAAACAAAACTTTTGTCCTGAACAAAAGTTAAGACTTTAATAAGTCCTTTAATCACCAGTTTGCAACAGTCCTGAACAAGACCCCGTAGTCTCCTGCGGGCGGGCTCCAGGAAATCAGAAAAAGACGGGAGTCAAGTCAAAGAAATTAAGCACTCCAACTACAACAACTTACAATAGCTTTTCCCCAATCCCTAGAAAGTTAAAAGTGGGCCGTCCTCCTCCGACTCCGATCCCAATCCCTGCTGTCGCTGCAATCACCGTCACTTGCGCCGAAGCCGGCAACCGTCCCCCGTCCCCTCTTTTGAAAAAGTCGTATAAATGATCATTGGATTAAAAATTCAGAACGCACGATTCGCATAAATGTAAACAATTACCGTGATGCTTTAGTCTTTAATATCTCTATTACAAATCCGTTATAAATATAAAGAGAGCAGAAGGCTCATTCTAGAACAGATACAAAAACCTTTAATCACCCTGTTATAAATATAGAACCTCTAGGCAAGAGAATCTATATATGTTTCATGATGCACCTAATTTGTCAGATAATACTAATCAAACAAGTTTTGCATTTAATTGCCAGATAATATTAATCAAACAAGTTCTTTGTACAACTTTTGATTAATCAGGCTAATACTAATAATAAATTTTAAAAAAAAAAAAAAGGAACAAAGCTCAAATTGGTCATCAATTGCCCATAAGTAAAAATCCACATCATTCTACACTTCTTTCAGAAAAAGTTTAATCACCCAGACCACTTCTTAGACTACTAACTAACAGTGGAATCCTAACACAGATCCATCACTTACAGAAATGGCCACCCTGCATTCAGCACTAGCGTCCATATGATGGCTAAAGAAATGCAGCACCCGAACCCGGCCCGCCATCTCTAACCTGGACTCGATCTCCATCGTGGGCCCTACTCGAAACCCACTAAGCCCATCAGTAACAGTAGGCCCCACATTGAGCGGCTGGTTAACAGACAACGGGAAGGACTGAACGGAAAAGGTCGCGGCCATGTACTGGCTCTTGCCCGCGGCGATCTTTCCGGCGGGGATGAACATGAAGCCCACTTGACTTCCGGCGTAGAGGAGCTGGAGGGAGCTGTCGTAGTGGGTAAAGACGGCCCTGTTGGGGTTGAGAACGGTGACGTATTGCGAGAAGGTGAAGTTTACAGTGCCGTTTGCCACGGAGAAGGTGGGCAGCTGGATGGCGTTGACCGTGAGGTTCACGTCCTTGGGTTTGAAAACGGTGAAGTAAACAATGAGGATGACTATGACAACGAAAATCAAGAAAACGGTTGCCACTATGCATGAAGCCAAGTTTGTTCGACCGCTCGGAGGTTTAGGTGGCTTATGTTTCCCCATTTTCTATGTATGTTTATTATACGGAGAGATCTCACAATGCCTTGAAAAAAAAGTGTTAGGTGTGGCTGTGCGAGATGATAACGGTTGTATTGCTTGCTTGCGGCCTGTACCCTGCAGTGTTAGTGTAATGATGGATGGAGCGTCTGGCAACGGGGACCCGACCGAGGGTGTGAAATGAAAAGAAAGACTTTTTTTTTTGGTTTGCTTTGTATGTTGTACTACCAATTTTTTGTCTCAGCAAATGATATGATCATGGTACCATATATTTCCCTTGAATTGATTCATCATTCATGTGGATCCATTCGAGTCAAGATCAGCATTGCCTGGAGTGGAGTTAGGGGTTACGACACTGTGCTTTGAATCACGAGGGACCATTTAACTCAGGCCCAAGGCAGGCTTATCCGGGGCATTGGGCTCGTTGGTCATATTCGTAGCAGTAATACAGTACCCCGCATTTGAAGAGATCTCACACACAGAGTAGTGTTGACCGAAGATTAGAGTCCATCCTGTTGGCTGTTTATGTTTTCAAATTAGAGATTTGATGTGTCTTCAGACCTGAAATGCGAATCCAAATCAAGAGCTGTTTTCAAGGTATTAGAGGAAAAATATTAGGAGAGACAACAATTTCCAACTAAAGTTCTGCATTGAGAAATTCTGATTATTTTGGATTGCTGGTTGGGCTCTTGCTTTTCGTTCAGTCAAGCATGCTGCTTGTTAGGGATTTTGTATGTTGCCGTGAGCAAAGTGTTGGCTTGCATTACACAAGTATTCCTACAACAGCTTACTAGGAAGTGAGAACCATACTTCAGAAGTCAGAAAAATATTTCCATGGGCGGGCTTATCAGTAAATAGTAGGAGTATCAACAAAGTCTCAACTTTCTCCCAAATATTCTATAAGCCCTTTGAGTTGAGCGGACATCTAAGATAGAGGCCATTCACGACTTGTACCATTGAAGCCGAAAACCCCATGAAATAGAAGTGCTCAAGTGAAAACACGTCTTACAAGGAGAACATATTAACATTCATGCAGCAGAACTAAGACATAAACAAGGATTGAATGCTGCAAGACTGACTGTAGCAAATGTTACTAGCAAATGCCAGTTCAACTTAAAACCACCTAGGATCCTCAGATCCTGTTTACACTAAACATGTAATAGAGAAGCCAACTACAAGGCAAAGTAGTACCTTTTTTATGAAATAATTATTGATGTTTATCACATTTATTCCTTATATGATAGTAAGCTATCATGAATCATGGTTATCTATCACATTTATCTCATCCCTTAGATGATAGCAAGCTATCATGATTTTCGAGCTGATAAAGCTATGACGATTCACTATCTTGATAAGAATTATTATAGTTGATGTACTTTGTCCCCTTCTATCCTCCTCTACAAATAGGGGTCACCCTAAGCGATACAAAACATAGGGGGTAGGGGTCATACAGAACTGAAGAATTGAAAAGTTCATTTGAGTATGAAAGAATAGTTGTTCTTCTTTCTTACTTTCCTCTTTTCCTCCACTATTAATAGTATTAGTTTTACAACGACCTCTTTATTCTTAATTTAGTCCTGCTTCTCTGAGTAAATATGGAAGCAATTCAGCTGACACCCAAAATCAAACGGAATGCAGAAAGGCACCAACTCCAGTCCACCTATATAATTGGACGTTCTATACATATACACTAGAAACCCTATGATGGTGATTCAATGAGCTTGTCAAGCTGAATATCCATAATGTCAGATACCATTTCAAGAAATGCAGCTTCACTCATGCCCGGGAGCATGGATTCTTGAGCTTCATGAATGATCTCTTCTATCATGGATTTCTTGTTTAAGGATTCCCTGCACATCATGCTTCCAATGGCAAAGGGAGTGAGCCCTCTGGCTGCCCCTTTCTTCAGAAGCATGGTGGAGATGCGGAATGTTCGAGCACATTTCAGGGATAGATCCAACCCATAGAATTTAAGTAGTCTGATGTCTAGCTCAGCATCAAGAGTGTTTATGTAGCTAGTGGTCTCTGGCGAGAAAGGTTCACGGGCTTGTGGCCAGTAAAGCCAGTCAAATGTGCAATCTTCAAACTGCCAAGAGGACAATGACAAGCATTTATCAATTGCAGATCTTGAAACAACAAATAATGCATCTTTTGAAAGAAGAAAATAATGATCACAATGCTTTAAAGTATGTAATTTGGATAGTTTAACAAGACCTGAGGAGTTTTAAGTTGATTACACACTTGCTTTTTGAGGCATAAGAAATAGTAATTTTGCCTCCAAGCATACCCCAACAGGTGTATATTAAGCACAGTAGGAATGGACAAAACACGTTATGAAGACTATGGCATCTAATGGAGAAGGAACAAGGATACTGTATCCCATTCCTCAATTTACTTCACCAGATCATTTTAGGAGTTTACCCATTTCTATCCCTCCTATATTGAACTACAGACTTATTTCTTCTCCAGATTTGTCTTGCACCCTAGTGCCTATAATCTGAGTCAACTAAATTTGTAAATTTCCAAAAATATTTATCCAGTAATATATCACAAAGAGATGGGTCTGCAAATGAAACACTCTCGTTCAGGAATTATAGGCATTAAGCATTGTATTTGTAAGAATTAGAAGAATATAAACATGAGAAAGGATATTCCTTACAATCTCAGGCAAGCAGTATCCATGGTCAATTGGGATAAGCTCGATTCGCCCTTGTTTCCCTTCTCTGGTTACCAATATATTTCCAGCATGCCTATCTGCATTTGCAGTTCTTATGTCCAAGACACTGATTTTGTGAACCTCCTCCACAGGAAAATCTCGAGGACCCATGTCCTCGCAGCTCCCAGAATTACTCATAAACATCTGCAGAGATCCCAGCTTCATATAGTTATGTGGATTCTCATACCCTTCTGGATGATAGAACTCCTTGTGTGAGCATTGAACCATTAATGTGGGGGGAACACCAGCAAAACCAACATCCCAATTTGACAGGCAGCGTGGCCCATTCTTTGGGTGATCAAGTATATAGGCTGCAACTTCCCTTAAGGCTCCCTCTCCAACTCTGGTCCCTTTCTTCAATCCTTCACCATTCAATGACAAAGGTAGCCCATGAGGATTATTTACAGCCATTGGTTCTTCATCTATGGGCTTGAAAACAGCAACAGATTTATCTCCTGACGCGTCTTGCATGAAGTAAGTTCCTCCTGTACCCTCAGATGATCGCAAAGGTGGTCTTCCATTCTCCAATCCTTCCAATACAGAATCAATCATCTGCTGCACAAATAAGGGAAATTTCACCTTTGGATTTACAATGACTGGTTCCAGCAAACTGCTTTTGTCCTGTGGCTTCCAAGATGTCACTTGATAGTCCGTAGTTTGTTCCTTTTCTTCCTGCACTTTTTCTTCATGTGTCCTCTCACTGCAATTTGCAGCCACAATTGAGAATTCAACATCTTTCTCAATAGGCTTAGCCCGAACTTTTGCAGAATTTTCAACTACCAAGTGGAGAATAGCTTCAGAAAACTTGCATACATCATCAATCAGTCTATGTTCCTCAAGCTTCTGACCATTGTAGAGAACTTCCTGATCCTCAGTATTAGTAAATCCTTCCGCTTTCTTGGCAATCACACGCTTGAGATACCCAACATTCCGATGACGATCAACATGAAATTCATATTCTCGCTCACAGATGGTCCTAACCGTGACCAGAACAGTATCAGAGAGCTTCACAATTAAGTGCAAGACGTTCCCACTCGATATACCGTAATCCTTAACAAGAGAATCACTTCTTGCTAGTTCTCTGCCACCAAAAACCAGCTTCTGCCTTTTCACAACACAGCCTTTGCATTTTTGGATCCTAAGTTTGACTGAACCAATTGAATCAGATTCTAAAACCTTCATGGGAATGACAGAACCAGCAAGAGTGAGGTATATCACAATAGATTCACCGGAGGTAAGATGCAACCGGTTGATGATATACCCACTAGACCTCACTGATTCTTCACTAATTGGGCTCAAAGCGACATCAGCAACAGACATGGTACTATTATCAGCCTACCCCTGATGAGCCTTTCTTTTTTGAACGACCAATTCAATTTTTTCAGTATCAACCCCAAAATGCAACCTTGACGATCAAGTATTATGTACAGTACGAGACAGAACAATAGAATTAACAATAATCTAATTAAAAAAAAACCCCCAGAAAGGAGATCAAAGTATAAACCTTAAAACTAGTCAGGTTCTTGTGAGGTAATAACAAGAACCCAAAGGGCAAAAAACTTTAAACCAAGGGAAATAATGCCCTTTGAAAATTTTCACAACACCTGAATGTAGAGGTATGAAAACAAGGGAAAAAACAAAAAAAAAACTCAAAAGATAAGAGCTTCCTTTCTTTTTCCCACACTTTCTAATCCAAAGATCCAATATTTCAGTGCAATTTCCCCTTTCCCTCCCAAGCATTTGAGAGGGGTCTTGTGAGGTAATAACAAGAACCCAAAGGGCAAAAAACTTTAAACCAAGGGAAATAATGCCCTTTGAAAATTTTCACAACACCTGAATGTAGAGGTATGAAAACAAGGGAAAAAACAAAAAAAAAAACTCAAAAGATAAGAGCTTCCTTTCTTTTTCCCACACTTTCTAATCCAAAGATCCAATATTTCAGTGCAATTTCCCCTTTCCCTCCCAAGCATTTGAGAGGGTTTACATCAACATCAACACAAGAATGAGAGCAATAAGATTGATGGGCTTTTTTTTTGGTGTGTGTTCAAGGGGGGGAGAAATCTTTCTTTCCAGAGAAGTGAGGATTCTTACCGCATCGGAAAGAATCAAAAGGTAAATGGGTAGCAGAAGATGAGCTTATATGCCGAGAAAAGGATGAGATTCAAAGCCTGCGAATAATTGGGGGGACTTGGAAAATGTGGACTATTTGCTGCATTTTCCGAGATTATAGCAATTTGGTATTCTCAGTTACCCGGTGACTTGTGAATTCAGTGCTGAGAGCAGGTCCGAATTCTTCGCCCGTTTTTTGAATTTTCCGGTAAAAATGTCGCGGAGACTGAAAGAGGCGAGGGAGCGGAATTATAGCCGTTGGCCTTTGGTTCCATGCTTACTGCTTCCCTACTCGCTGAGTTTATCAATTGAATTCCAGACAGCTACTTGTTCTGACTCCTTCCTGACTAACGACGTTAACGGCATTGCCCTAATAACATCTGTAATTACGTGGAAACCGCTAAAGAGCCACGTGTCACACTGTAACATCGAGTACTACAGGTTTAAACCAACCATTTCTCCTTTTTACTTATTAGCTTTTTGGGGAAGGATCTTTGGGGGGTTAAGAAAAACTTACCGCAACAGCTCAACAACTTTCTTTGACTAGCATCTGGCAAGCACCGTTGCACAGTCGGAAATAAATAATATTTAACGAGGACTTAGAGGTGGTTTGGATGGTGTGTTTTGAAGAGCTTTCGAAGAAAGATTAGTATAGATATTTTTAGGGTATGATATATGTGAAGGTAAAAAGATAATTAAAAAAAATATGCAATAGAAATATTCATGAGAAGAGGTAAAAAAAAATTATGTTTCTCGATTCAGATTCAACATGATAAGTGCTTCTTTATCTTGATTCTTCAAATAATAAAATAGTCACGATTAAGGCACATGCGAACGAGGCGTTGAATTGATTAAAATTATATTTGATAAGTGAAAATTTAACACATAAACTTAACCCATTTTTTGATTCAGTAAATTTCTGTCAAACTCAATTTTGTATCTGAATCACGACGGAACCACACAAAACTCAATTTTTTCAATTAAGAGAATCACTTGCCAATTGGAACTTGCTAGTGTTACTTATTGTTGATCTAAGTTTGTCAACATTTTCAAATTTATTGCTTTTCTTTCACATTTCCACTTCAATTGTGATCGAGTGTACTAAAAGTGCTTGATGAAATCATCGATCGAATATAAACTGGCATTGGAATAAATTCCATGGATTTTGTCTTTCGTTTCTTTGTTAATTAAGCCCATACATGTGCTATAACGCCGTTAGTCAAACCAAAGTAATGAAGCTATGATTATCGCATCTCGATACCACGTGTCTATCGATCTGGGCCCTTTTTAATCGAACTTTATATCCAGTTCATCCAGTTATATAATTCTTATGACGTTTGATATAAAATTATAGGACAAGTTAGATGTAAACGTGAATTTTATTAACTCATACAACGAATTCACAATTACATAACTGACACGAATTTACGCAAAAAATTATAAGAATTAAAGGTCCTTTTTTTTTTTTTTTTTTTACTGAAGGAGTGCTCACTAGAGGCGCCCTGATCCAGGAGCCTCTAGGTGCAGAGCACTTGCCAATTGCAGCAGGGTAAATAAATTGGTGAACAATGAAGCTCTGATATTTGTGAAAGAACAGGTGCATCGTCCATCATATGCGGCACTCCCGTTACTTTTGGTATTGGTCCTACTTCCCCAGTACACAATCCATAAAATCGCTCAAAAAGTTTAATCTCTCTTACTTTCATGTCTTGGGAATGGTCATGATCCCGGGAAGCTTTATCTTTTTGGTGCCCTCTTGTCGATGGTGCAACTTGATATTGTACCTTTACATTTAAAAATTTATGTTGTCACGAAAGTCATAATTTTATCCATCCGTTTAAAATAGAGTTGTTAATCGAGTCAAATCGAATTCGAGTACCTGATAATCGAAATCGACTTGAACCTCTAATTGAGCTAGCTCGAGCTCGTTCGATTAATAGTTCGAGTTTCAAAAGCCGTTCGAAATCGATTCGTCAAACTTGATTAAAACTCAAACTCGAGTTCAAAATCGAGTTGAGCTTAACGAGCTCGGTGAGCTTGAGACTTGAGCTCAAACACCTGGATGTTAGCAATCATTATTGTCTAATTTGTTAACAAAATTTTCCGGCAAATTCACAACTAAATCTGCAGTTGAAATAGATACAGAAATCACAATTCAAGCGATTCACAATTCAAGTAGTCCCAACAATTAAACATCAGCTATCAAATAGTTATAAACAGATTCTAAAATGTCCAAACTCTAGACCAAGTTGACCAACATGTTTAAGTTCAATTGTCTAAAAGTTAAAAACAACTTTCTTGAGCGAAAATAGCTTGTGAATGATGCAGCTTTTGAGCGAAATCAGCATGTGAATGAAATTAGCTTGCACCAATAAGCATATATATACAACTCGAGCTTGGCTTGTTTTTCTCGTTAAACGAGCTGGGTCGAGCTCGGCTCACAAGTTACTCGATTCGATTAATAAGACTAGTTGAAAAGGCTAATTCCTTAAATTATAGTTGAAAAAAAATGTTAATAAATTGTTGCTCTGACAAAGTTGTGCTCCCATACTATACCTCCCGTGGACAAAGCACGGCAGGACAACCAAATTTTTTTTTTTTTTTAAAATAAGCTGGCAACCAACAATTATTCTTTTTTTTTTTTGCTTGTACTTTCAAAGTCAATACTTCAACTAGTTTTTGCCCTATCCTCTGCATATCTTTCATGGTGTTATATTAATATTAAGTTCCATCAAAAGTCAAAACTACGCCTTACTTCTTTCTGAATTACTATTGTGAATAGGATTTTGTCTTATTTAACAATATTCGCTGAAGTGTTGTGGAAGTCATAATGCACTCGGAGAAGGAAATGATTATGAGTAGGTCACGAAGAAGTTTACCAATAAACTTCTACATACAGTTTGAAGGCATTTTTCTATACATTATGTTGTTGTAACTTGTTAATCAGCTCTAAGATTTGTCTGTTTTAACTATTGAACTAAATCATATTAGTTCCAGCTTTGTTTCATCAAAATACACAAAAAAAAAAAAAGAAAACTGACATTCTTCATCACATCTTCATTAAAGTTGAGAACATTTTTTGCCTTCTACATTATGTATGTATACTTTGAGAGGATTTATCGTTTCCAACTATAATCCAAGGAATTAGCTCCGTTGAAACTCATTCTACTCTTTCCCATTCACATGGTGGCAGGATTCTTAAGGTGGCTGCACTTTTTTGCATAAACACCTATGAAAGATGCGAAGATGGCTAATTCCTTAGACTATTGTTTGAAAAAACAAAAGTCGTCTACCTACGGATCTGACATGGGTTAAGTATGAATCTATGGGTGCCGGGCTGTCTCAGCTTGAATATGAAAAACAAGTCCGTTTGGATTAGTTGTTTTTGGGGTTGTTTTTTAAAAACTATATGAAAAACTTTTACTATAGATTTTTTTGGATTATTTTTAGAGGTATTTTTGAAACATATGTTTGAGTATTTTTAGAATATTATAATTTTTATATTTTTATATAACTATACATTTATGCATTTATAATACATTTATATTTACAAATGTATAGATGTATATTATTATGAATGTATAAATTATAAATGAATATTATATAAATGTATAAATTATAAATTTTATATTTTTATATAAATATGCATTTATGCATTTATAATACATTTATAGATATTTATAAATAAATATTTATATATTCATATATAAATATATAAATGTATTATATTATATATAATACAAAATCTAAATATATTTATAAATGTATAAGTGTATATTATTATAAATTATAAATGAATATTATAAATATATTATAAATTATAAGTGTATATTATTATAAATGTATAAATTATAAATGAATATTATAAATGTATAAATTGATATATTATAAATATATATTAATATTATGTAGAAATGTATTTATATAATTAATATAAATGTATATATGTATTGATATTATGTATAAATGCAAAATTAATATTATGTATATTAATATAAATGTATAAATGTATTATATTATATATAATACATAATATAAATGTATATTTAAATGTATACGTGTATATTATTAAAAATGTATAAATTATAAATGAATATTATATTAAATGTATAAATTAATATATTATAAATATATATTAATATTTAGTAGAAATGTATTAGTATAATTAATATAATTGTATACATGTATTAATATTATGTATAAATGTAAAAATATTATTATGTATATTAATATAAATGTATAAATGTATTGTATTATATTATATATTATACATAATATAAATGTATATTATAAATATATATAAATATTTATATAAAAAGCTTAATAAAAAGCTAGGTCGACCTGAAGTACTAAATCTTTTAGTCTTTTAAGTTAATTAATTTTCATTTCAAAGTTGAAACGTAAGAAAAAGATGAAAATAGATTTGTGCAAAATCACTAATTACTCTTATAGGATGTTAAACTAAGAAAAGGTTTTTCAAACAAAATATCCCATTCATTTTGTTAGAATTATTATGTAACTTTTAAATGTTCACTATAATTTTATAAATATAAATTTATTGTGCAATATAAAAAGAAAAAAGGACGAAAAAAAGAAAGAAAAATGCATAGTGTGACATGGTGAAATGGTTAAATATAAAAATAACGATAAGCATTCAAATAATAAAAGGCTAAAATAGCGCTAAATCCCCATATTATAATATTTGATATTTAACAAACATGTACTGAAAATGATCACATCAACGCCCCGTGCGCCTTTTGCCCTTGCCTTTATCACCTGGTGTTGTGGACGGACAGCAAAATCTTTTGGGTTGTCGTCTGCAACGTTCCCGCAGAACTATTGGCTCCTGTTGTGTATCGATTGGAGGGGCAACATCTATGGAAGCATCATCAAGTCCTGCGTCCTCCTCCTCAACCGTGTCTGCAGTCGTACTGCTATCACAATCGTTCTGAGAGCGATACGTGACAAAATCTCCCGAATGACCGTATCCAGTAGCACATACTGGCTGAATCGACGTAGGTACGGTCATAGGCTGTCCAAAACTATAATAATCAGGAAGCTCTGAAATAGGAGATGTACCACCCACTCCACTAAGAAAATTGAATATTGGATGTAGTTCAAAAGAAGATGATGACACCGCTGCAATGGTAGTGTCTCCAACTAGAGGCTCGTGCGATGAGGATGGATATTGTCCACCGAAGGCAGGACAATATGAAGAGGGTGTGGGATGTGCACCAAAAGGTGGAAACTGTGGCAAAGGCGTGGCATCTAGACCAATATGCGATGAGTATGGGAAAGATGTCACCTGAGGGTTAAAAGCCGATATATTCTGTGTAGTTGGCATAGCATTGATATCCGGCACCTCGGTGTGTTGAATGGTCTGCTCCCCAATGACTTCGTCTTGCAAGCCATGCCTGTGCCGTCGACTTCTACTAGATGATGGTCCACCTTGTGTAGGGACACGCCGCACACGATTGGGCTGTGGAATTTCTTGTGACACAGGAGGATTATGACCGAAAGAATTAAAATCACCAACAACCATGCGATCAAAACGCTGGAGGTATTGCATTGATCCATATGCTCTATCAACAATGGTTGCATAATGGGAATGAAAGCGACCGTTAGTGTCGTCAAGCTGTAGTGCATCATGCGATTGTTGGCCAACCTGCTGCATAGTACCCATCTGGCATATACAAAAAACGGCGACAATCCTTTTTAATCATTGTTGAATAGTAAATTAATTAAATTGGTATATAGTAATAACTTACCAAATACTCAAACTGGCCAGAAACTCCATGCAACATTTGCCCATACTGTGCATGCTGCTGGATAGGAGGCGTAATGTACAGAATGGTGTGATTATGATACCACTCGAGATACTTATTGGAAGGCCTGAATGTATCTATGGGCACACCAGGTACCTCTGCAGTTGCACGCGCATTCCAGTATGCTATCCAACCCTTATGAAAATCAGCCCAATTTCTTCCCGGATAACCAGAAATATCCAATTGGTGTAAACCACCCCGATTAGTGTCAACTGGTTCCGGAATGTCCGGCCTCATCCCAAATTGACGCATGACACGATCAGGAAAATGAAATTCGACGATGTACCAGAATATAAGAGGGACTCTTGCCCGCCATATGTGCGCTCCCCGTTTGCAGTAATCAGGTAGTCGTGCCAGTATATCATCGGTATACGGCATCCAAATAAACTGATATCATAACAGTTATTTAGATTGTGGATCGGCTCTTTGTGATATTATTATTATAAATAATTTATTTAGATATAAGAGACAAATACCTGATCCATGCGTAATAAGGCTAACTGCTCCCGATAATGTATGCCGGACTGACTAGAAGGGTCAATCCCTGTTCGTTCGGCTGCCCATCTCCCTCCTCTCGAAAAATCCCCAATTTCAGAATATAGGAGTACATCAGGTCGAATCACAGGAATCCGCTCCCACGCCCAAAGTTGTAGTAACAAGTATGGACCTCCAGTTGTTATTGTTCCAACACGAGATGCGTGGCACATTCGTGAATATAAACAAGCCAACGTCGCAGTCCCCCAGCTGTATTGCCTCATGGCATCCAAATCACGGACATAGTCTAACCAATTCAAACTCACGAGATTCTGACATGAATCAGCAAATAACAATCCAACCAATAGAATCAGGATGTACATGCGGGCATACTGACGAACCATAACATCTGAAGCATCTGCTGGCAACGGTGTACTCAACCGTCGGGATATAGAAGTAAGCTTTAGACGATCGTGGTTGAGCATGTTATCTTCTGGCCAATATCCCAAAATATCATAAATCAACTGCTTCCGCTCCACCAAGTTACGTCTACGGTGCACTAATGTAACCGGCAAACCATCAACCCGAAAACCCCACAAAACCTCCACATCCTGCAGAGTTACTGTCGCCTCTCCCATAACTGGGAGGTGAAAAGTATGTGTCTCTTGCCTCCAACGTTCCACAAGTGCATTTATAAGGCCATGATCTACTGTGAGGTAACCGGCTCTGCGAATACCATAAAAGCCTGCGGCATCGATGTATTGAGCAATCCGATCATCCAAATGTATTAGAGGTTGAAAAAACCTCCTATCACAGCGCCGAACATCTAAATCCACACCTGTCCCTTGAAAAATCGCAGCGGTCCTATGTTCCGATTGTAAATATAAAACACTCCCATCCAATGGTCCTGGATGGGGGGTGCTGTGGTCGAATGCCATCGCTCCATTTGAAATCCTGTTTTAAGACAAAAATCACATAAAGAAAGATATGTGGTACAATTAACAAATCATTGCGACAAAATAACATATCAAATGCAATTTTATTACAATAAAATGACAGAGTTTTACACCAAATAGGAGTTCATATGGTTTTAGTTCACACCAAAACACTTCTACAACAATAGAGGATAACATTATTTATGAAAGTAACCGGCATACGGACAGTTAGGGGCTGTGTGACCCGGCTATAAACAGTTACTGCATCGACGTGGTACATCAGGGCATCTTCTATCCATCTGATTTCTGATCCTAGAATTTCTCAATGGTCCTGGCATCTTTTGTTTCAATCTCCCTCCTATGATATTCAGCTGTAATTCCGCTACAGGCCAATATTTTGGATCCCGTAGCGGTTCAAAATTACCGGTGAATGTAGCTTGATAAGAGGAAAACGTGTGTTCATGAGCGACAAGCGTCAATGGGGAGATGCCACACCTAAAACACGCAGCTATGGCATGTGAACATGGGAAGCGGAATTCTCTCCATTTTCCACATGTGCACGTGCGATTTTCAATGTCAACGGTTTGCGCATTACCTCCTTGATGGCTTTGTCGATAGGCAGTCGTAATGCAGTAAATACCCATCCTATGATCGAACACTTGAACTGCATGGGCCCGCCTTTTTTGTTCATTTTTGACATATTTATCCCAAGATTTCTTTGGGAGGCGGTATACCTCATCCCATGCAACCTTGTGATTCTTCACGAACAAATCAACAGTTTGATTGAATGTGAATCTTATCAACGCAGTAATTGGCAGCAACCGAGCGTCCCTCAAGAGATTGTTGAAACACTCGGCCATATTTGTGGATATGTGGCCCCAACGATATCCCCCATCTTTGCACAGAGCCCATTGTTCGGGTCGAACTGATCCACCCGTTAGCCATGCATATGCCTCCGTATTTAGGGAGAAAATCACATTCATGAAGTTCTCATACTTACGTGTCTGATTCGCCACACCAGCCCCGTACATCAGGTTTTTAAGCCTAACACACATCGTAAAATAACGTCAAAAGGGGATTAATTTACCTATGATGGGTGGAACATGAAAATATATTTAATTTTTAGGGGTTAAATGACAATTTACCTTTCATTCTTGAATTTTTGTATGAAATTGCTCCGAATATGAATCGAACAGAATCGGTGCACCCCTAATGGCTCCTGCCACTCTTCGAGTGTACGCATTGCATTAATGATGCCATGATGACGATCAGAAATAATGCATATATTCTGCATGTCACCACACACGTGAATGCGTAACAGTCTCATGAACCAATGCCAACTCCGATTATTCTCCTCATCGACTAGAGCATATGCCAGGGGAAACAGTGAACCATTAGCATCAAAACCTACGGCGACAAGAAGTTTTCCCCGATAAGGTCCTTTCAAAAAAGTACCATCCACACATATGACCGGTTTCAGATGGCGAAAGCCTTGGATGGCAGGTGCAAATGCCCAAAATATATAATCAAAAATAATATTGGAAGGGGTACTCGATGGATGATGGTCCCACACAACTACCGTACCCGGATTGGACCGTTGTAACTCCTGAATATAGGTTGGCAGCTGTGATATGGATGTCGGCCAATCCCCGTATAATATATCAATGGCACGGCGTCTAGCATACCAAGCTTTCTTGTAAGACACATCGCAATGAAACTCCTGTTTCACCGATGCTTGAATTTCCTTGATTTTATACACTGGACCATTCATAATGTGGGGAATAATATGTTCGGCAATTATGTCGCTACTCAATCCACGGTGGTCATTATTAAAACAGACACGAATGCATGTATGAGCATCAGCAAGTGTGACAATCATCCACATGTTGTGCGAGCTACGCAGGGTTGCACGAAGCTGCCAATTACACGGGGGTACAGAGTTACGAGCCCGACAACGAACATACCATGTTGTTGGCGTGCTCTCACGAACTTTGAACTCCCTATTCTCCTTTATGGACCACAATTTCACAGCTCTCTTGACATGCTCCTTTGTTTCGAAAAGTTGACCTAATTCTAAATCTTTGGTGTGTTCATTCCACAACTTTAACTTCTCAACTCACCCAACATCAAGGGGGTCATAATTCAATGCAGCGTCGACACCAGCTTCATAACGCAGTTGTGGTCCTTCACGAGTTATCCAAGGAGCATTGCGACCCATGTCAACATAGGTCGTAGTTGGAAGATTTGAATACCCATCTTGTCGATCGGTATCATGTTGGTGGTTCTCTTCATCGGAACCACTAAGATTGGGCTCCGGTTCGGAGTCCATGTCAACATCTACAAACTGAATGTCAGTAGATGGTAGAGCATCAAACATCGGAGATGATTCAATATCCGTACATCGAGTTTGAAATGATGAGGTGTGCTCTATTGGTTGACCACTTGTACTTGAAGGATCATTATTACTCCGCCGACCATTACCCCTTCTTCGCTCTCTATGCCTTGGTTGAACATCACCTACATCTAATTGGGTCATTTGACTCTCAAAAAGGCCGCCTGACTGGAATAAAGATATGTGTTCTGAACTACTACCACCTCTATCAAGATTAGCACTTACAACACCTAAAATTTGAGAATCATTCTCTTGTAAATGAAAGACCTCCTCGACCTCCACATATATTTCGGTTGCAAGTCTACTACCAGATTGTAAGTAGTACAGCCCGGCAACTCCATTGTCATTCACCAAAGGCATTGCACCAAACTTGCCATTTGGAAGGCAACTTCGATATATCAAACTAATCTTATAGCGCTTCCGATCTAAACCCAAAAGATTGTATATTTGGTCTACCAAATCATCATAACCTACCATCTCTGGAAGGAACAATACTTGTTTCGGTATAGGGGGATCATATGAAATTGACCCTCCTTCGTATATAATTTTTCCTCCCCAATATACTTGAATCACCAAGCAATTATCACTTGACATGTTATACCTATTAGAGACGAGTGTTGATAGCATTTTAAAACACCATTAATATACTTATTTGAATAATTATTTAATTGAATCAAATATATATATAATTTAATAACAAATAATAAATAATTACGATTCTATAACTGTGACAAATAATAACAAATAACAACAAATAAAGTGTAATTAAATAATAACGAATGATAACAAATAGTATAACAAATAACAACAAATAAAGTGTAATTAAATAATAACGAATAATAACTAATAGTATAATGAATAACAACAAATCAAGTGTGATTAAATAACAACAAATAATATAACGAATAACAGCAAATAAAGCGTAATTAATAAATAACAAATAATAACAAACAGTATAACAAATAACAACAAATAAAGTGTAATTAAATAACAACAAATAACAACAAATAATGCATTATAATTAAATAATTAAATCATTTATAATAAACAAATGAATATTTAATAAATAACAACATAATCCTAATTCATCACCTTAATTAACAACAAATGCATTTGATCGAACCTCTTTAATTTAACTAATTTCACAACTAATTAAACTAATTAATCCACTAAACTAATTAAAATAATTGTTTACTAAATAACATAAACTAATTATCAACTAACTTAACAAATAAAGTGAATAGCATTAAACTAATATCACTAGGTATGAAATTTTGCTATGCTAATTACATTAATTTTATGTATTTATTTTATTAGCATAGGTATTATTTCAATTACTTAAATTGCCCCGACTAAACGGCTATCTTAATCAAAACTCAATTGCACAAATTCGTTCAATTAATCCATTCAATTAATTAACCTCGCCAAGTACATCTAAATTCATTTAATCGAACCTCTTAAAATTAATTCATTCAATTAATTAAACTAATATATCCTGTTGGCTAATTAAACTAATCATATACTAAATAACATAAACTAATTCATTTAAATTCATTTAATCGAAATTCATTTAAACTAATTAAACTAATAACATATACTAAATAACATAAACTAATTCATTTAATCGAAATTCATTTAAACTAATTAAACTAATAACATATACTAAATAACATAAACTAATTCATTTAAATTCATTTAATCAAAATTCATTTAAACTAATTAAACTGTTGACCTTGGTCGATCAATCCTTGATTTTGATGATTAACAAACCAAAATGTAGATTTGGGCTAATGTTTTTATGTGAGTAATTTGTTAGAACAGATTCTTGTGGCATAAAAGAAGAAGCAAAAACAGGGCACTCATGTGGGACGTCCGAAAGGAAGCTATCGGACGTCCGAAAGGATGAAGAACATCAAGAAGGAAACTCTGTCGGACGCACATCGATCGCATCGGACGTCCGAGAAATTTCGCAAAGATTTGATGACTCTCTGACGACGGTCGGACGCAGGGTTCGGACGTCCGACAGGTGGTTTGGACGCAGGGTTCGGACGATCGACAGGTGGTTCGGACGTCCGACAGGCCAACGGCTAGTTTTGACAGCATTTAATATTTGACCGTTGGAGAGCCTTTTGAAGCCATTTCTCACCTTCTATAAACACCCCAAAGCACAAGAAGACAAGAGACTTTTGCCAACACAAAATACAAGCTTACAAGTGAGATTTTTGAGTAGAAAGATTCTTTGTTGGTTGTATAAGGGGTTGGGGAAGTTGGGTCGTGAGGTTGCTCAAGTGAAGGTTACTCTCTTGGAGTAGTAAAACCTTGGTGAAGGTGAACCAATCACTTGGAGTGGTAAAACCTTGGTGAAGGTTGCCTCATTTGTATAAAATAGTTCTTAATTGGGTGAGTGATCTTTCAAGTGTAGGTTGTTGAGTGTTAACTAGAATAGTTGTAAAACTCCTTGGCTCACCCAAAGAGTATTTGGGGTGAGGAAGGAGTGAGCCTTCACTTGTACATCTTGGTTAGCATCGCCATCAATTGAAGAGGCTATTGGTTTGATATTTGGTTTGCATTTCTTATCTTTTCTCTTTAATTAAGTTTTCTTTATTGTGCTTAAATTTGATATATCTTTGTGCATCATTGTGAATTTGTTTGTACTCATTGGGTTGCACCGGGCTCTTACAATTGGTATCAGAGCTTGGTCTCTTTTGATCAAGCTTAACCGCTTAGAGTAAAGATCATGGCAACCATAAAAGTTTCTTTTTTAGAAGGGCAATCTATTGATAGACCACCTATGTTTAATGGTTCTCATTTTAGCATGTGGAAACAAAGAATGATGATTTTCTTACAATCTGTTTACATTGAATTATGCTATGTGGTAGAAGATGGTCCTTATGAAGCTAGAATAGTTGACTCTATCACCAATTTGAATAGATTAAAGACTAGACAAGAATTGAATAAAAAAAACAAGAGATACCTTTCTTTGAATGCCAAGGCCATGTGTATATTGTACAATGCATTAGATGTAAATGAATCTAGTAGGATTAAAGGTTGTAAATCAGCTAAAGATATTTGGGATAAATTGTGTGTATTTCATGAAGGTAACCAAGATATTAAAGAACAAAAGAAATCTTTGCTTGTTTCTCAATATGAATTTTTCAAAATGCATCCTCTTGAAAATGTTGAGAAGATGTGTAGTAGATTTTGTGACATTATTGAAGATCTTAAATTGCTTGGAAAAGAATATTCTTTGGGTGAGAAAAATAGAAAGATTTTGAATGCCTTGCCAAAAGAATGGGAAAACAAAATAAATGCTATAGAAGAGGCAAAGGATTTAAATTCTATGTCCATTGAATCTCTTGTGGATACCCTAACCTCTTATGAATTAAAGCTGAAATTCAAAGTGCAAGAGGAAGAAAATGCAAGAATGTATAAGAGAGGCATAGCTTTTAAAGCATCTCAAGTGGGGGATAACCCTGACTTCATGGGTAATGAAATCATGGATGTGGACAATGATACAACTCCTCACATCAAAAGTTCCAAGAAGACCTTCAACAAGAGATGCTCAAGAGGAGATTGCAAAATTACATGGGATGAATGTAATTCAAAAAGAGAAAAAGAAGAGTTGGCCCAAATGGCACTAATGGCCGTTGGAGAAGATGAGGTAAGTTCTTATCACTCTTCTTGTGATGAAGATGATGAAGATGATGATGTGAAAATTCTTATGATTAATATGCATAAAAGTTTGAGAAAATCTTATGCTAAAAATAAAGATTTGAAAACAAAAATAAATGATTTGTTGGAAGAAAACTCCAAACTGTTTCAAGAAAACAAATGTTTGAGAATGGAAAATGATGATTTAAAAAATCAAAAAAGTGTTTTTGATTGCAAAAATAATTTGAAAAGGAAGTTAGAAGAGAAAACAAAGTTTTATGAAAAAATGTTGGAGGAACAAAATGTGTTAAAGAAAAGAATTAATGACTTGAACGAGTTTCTCCAAAATGAAAAACAAAAGTTTTCTCAAACAAAAGAAAGCAAATCTTTTCAAGGCACAAATAAGTTTGCTATGATAAGAAGTAAGAAAATTAGTTGCATTAAATCCACCTATGTGCAAAATACTTCTATCATGTGTAACTTTTGTTGCAAATTTGGACATATGCAAAATGATTGCTATGTAAAAAAAAATATGAGAAAAGGCATGAAATTCATGTGGATTGCTAGATCATGTCTTATTAACTCCCAAGGACCCTATAAAGAAAGGGTACCAAATGAAATTTCTCATATTTAGGTACATCATGAAGTTTTGATCCAAGTAGTGCTATATGGTTGTAAGTACATTTGAAAATTTTGATATTCAATATGGTTTTGATCTGAAAAATAAAGGGGGAGTTTGTTTTTTTTTTATTGATGCCAAAAGGGGGAGTAGGATTTATTGAAATTTCTTTGTATGTTGGCACTTTCTAAGGGGGAGCTTTATTTGAACTTATTTGATAAAAGAAATCTTCATTTTGTTTGTCATCATCAAAAAGGGGGAGATTGTTGACCTTGGTCGATCAATCCTTGGTTTTGATGATTAACAAACCAAAATGTAGATTTGGGCTAATGTTTTTATGTGAGTAATTTGTTAGAACAGATTCTTGTGGCATAAAAGAAGAAGCAAAAACAGGGCACTCATGTCGGACGGCCAAAAGGCTATCGGACGTCCGAAAGGATGAAGAACATCAAGAAGGAAACTCTGTCGGACGCTCGTGAGGAAGCATCGGACGTCCGGAAGGATCGGACGCACGCCTCGGACGCACATCGATCGCATCGGACGTCCGAGAAATTTCGCAAAGATTTGATGACTCTCTGCCTACGTTCGGACGCAGGGTTCGGACGTCCGACAGGTGGTTCGGACGTCTGACAGGCACCTGTCGGACGTCCGACAGGCCAACGGCTAGTTTTGACAGCAATTAATATTTGACCGTTGGAGAGTCTTTTGGAGCCATTTCTCACCTTCTATAAAAACCCCAAAGCACAAGAAGACTAGAGACTTTTGCCAACACAAAATACAAGCTTACAAGTGAGATTTTTGAGTAGAAAGATTCTTTGTTGGTTGTATAAGGGGTTGGGGAAGTTGGGTTGTGAGGTTGCTCAAGTGAAGGTTACTCTCTTGGAGTAGTAAAACCTTGGTGAAGGTGAACCAATCACTTGGAGTGGTAAAACCTTGGTGAAGGTTGCCTCATTTGTATAAAATAGTTCTTAATTGGGTGAGTGATCTTTCAAGTGTAAGTTGTTGAGGGTTAACTAGAATAGTTGTAAAGCTCCTTGGCTCACCCAAAGAGTATTTGGGGTGAGGAAGGAGTGAGCCTTCACTTGTACATCTTGGTTAGCATCGCCATCAATTGAAGAGGCTATTGGTTTGATATTTGGTTTGCATTTCTTATCTTTTCTCTTTAATTAAGTTTTCTTTATTGTGCTTAAATTTGATATATCTTTGTGCATCATTGTGAATTTGTTTGTACTCATTGGGTTGCACCGGGCTCTTACATAAACTAATAACATATACTAGATAACATAAACTAACCTTGCCGAATACATCTAAATTCACCCCTAATCGAACCTCTTAAAATTAATTCATTCAATTAATTAAACTAATATATCCTGTTGGCTAATTAAACTAATCATATACTAAATAACATAAACTAATTCATTTAAATTCATTTAATCGAAATTCATTTAAACTAATTAAACTAATAACATATACTAAATAACATAAACTAATTCATTTAAATTCATTTAATCAAAATTCATTTAAACTAATTAAACTAATAACATATACTAGATAACATAAACTAACCTTGCCGAATACATCTAAATTCACCCCTAATCGAACCTCTTAAAATTAATTCATTCAATTAATTAAACTAATATATCCTATTGGCTAATTAAACTAATCATATACTAAATAACATAAAATAATTCATTTAAAATCATTTAATCGAAATTCATTTAAACTAATTAAACTAATAACATATACTAAATAACATAAACTAATTCATTTAAATTCATTTAATCAAAATTCATTTAAACTAATTAAACTAATAACATATACTAAATAACATAAACTAACCTTGCCGAATACATCTAAATTCACCCCTAATTGAACCTCTTAAATTCAATGAATTCCACAATTAATTAAACTAATTAATCCACTAAACTAATTAAACTAATCATATACTAAATTACATAAACTAATTATCAACTAATTTGCATAATAAAGTAAATTGTATTAAACTAATAACACTAATATCATTAATTAAGTTATGCTAATTTTATGTATTTTAGTTAAACTAATTTAATTCATCCATTAAATAAATTTAAACAACTAATTAAACTACTTAAACTAATTTTATCACTAAACTAATTCAACTAAGCATGTACCATATTATTAAACTAATATTAGCTAACTTACGTAAAAAGTAAATTACATTATTTGTATACAACTATTCTATAATAAATTAAATATTTATTTAACAAAAAATATTAACAACACAATATAACAACAATATAAAATATTTATCACCAATTGAGTAACATAATATAACAGTTATAACAATTTTTATATAAGACAGATCACTAACCTCTTTCGAACTATTTGTATTTAAAAAATTGATTGTCTTGTCAGCACCGTTAGTAGTCAGTACGGCGACCTAAACAAAAGCACCGTAATTAATTAGCACGGCGGTATCGTAATTAATTAACACGAACGTCTTAGCATAAATACATTAACAATAGGCTCACCAATTCTGCCCGCGAACAAAGCTATGGTCAGAGACACCGAGAGGGACAATCCTCGACAAGGCAAATCTGAGACACCAATAGGGAAGGCAAATCGCAAACACAACAAATGTCTTTCGGCTCTGGAGGAACTTTGGCCGAGAAGCTGAGTGAGAAGTGAGAGGGATGATGCAAATAGAATTGGGAGAGCTCAGAAATAAGGAAATGAGAAATGAGGTGCGGGATGAGGGGTGAAGGGTGAAGTTTGGTTCGTTTATATACACATTCGGAGTTCACGACGCTGGAGCAAGCCCACGTGATTGCAGTTTTTGTTTCTGTCCGTAGCTAGCCACCACGGGGTGCTAAGCTGAGATAGCTTTTGTTTGTTTTTCCGTAGCTAGGCACCACGGGATGCTAAGCTGAGATTCCACCAGCTAACAGGCACCTGATAAAAGCTCTGGCGGCTCAGGAAATTGCATGGACGAGAGGGGCGCATGGCTTTAAAAAGCTGTCTGGTGCACAGCTTTAAAAAAACAAAAAAAAAAGGGAGAATCTGTCAGGTGGCGGGTCAGGAAATTGCATGGACGAGAGGGGCGCATGGCTTTAAAAAGCTGTCTGGTGCACTGCTTTAAAAAAAAAAAAAAAGAATCTGTCAGGTGCCGGGCTGACAGAGCCCGGCACCTGATAACACTTACAGCACAAAATTCTGTCGGTTGCCGGGCTGCCAATTTTAAAAAAAAAAAAATTTTTTTAAATTGGAGTGTCAGGTGCCGGGCTGAGACAGCCCGGCACCCATAGATTCATACTTACCCAGTGTCAGATCCGTAGGTAGACGACTTTTTTTTTTTCAAACAATAGTCTAAGGAATAAAAATAGAGTGTAATTTTGAGAAAAATATACTGTAACATTTTTTAAATTTCTACACATATGGCATAAAAAATGCTTTAAATAATTACGCATTCATTCAAACAAAGATAAATAATTATGGCATCAACATAATGGGCACAGCAAGTATATACGATACTGTATATTTTGATCGGTTGTTTCTGAGCTGCTAGTCAGTTTCCACTAGCTCATGCATGCAACCTCATTACCGTTAAGTAGTGCTGGGGCCGGTGCACCGGCAAAATGCTCAGACTTGTGCCAGGCTTGGGGAAAATTTTGGAATTCAAATGATCCTTTTTGGTTAGCGTTAATAGGATACATATACCTTGTTGTCGGTAGAAATTAATGGCATAGTGCATTTTGTTCTATATTGAATGCTGTATCTTTTTGGTGGTCGGCTTAAATTGAAGTTAGAGCTTTAGCACTGCATGTAAAGGAAGAAAGAAAAGAGCTGCAGCTCCATGTTCGAGATGGTGAACATCTCCCAAATACAAGTCTTAAATATCTCATCCGTGTTCTAAACCTGAAATTCTAGTAAAGCATACTTTTGGAGGCAGGAAAGGTGTAAGAAGGAGCCAAAGGTTTATTTAATTAAAAAAAAGGGAAAAAAATGCGAATCAAGGGATATAACGAGGCACCAGAAGAGAGCCTACCGCCAAAAAAAAAAGAAAAAAAAAAAGCAAGTATATAACGAGTTCTTGAAGTCACAAAAATATTACAAGTTCTTTATTATTTGGGATTTGTATAGTTAGTTATAGCTCAACCGCCTCTTTCTTTTACCCGCCAAATTTCACAGAGCACCTCTCCGTCTCGCTCTCAGTTCATTCATGGAGTCAATTCGAGAACTCTGCCGCATTTTGATTCTGATCTTCATTTTCTACCCCACCTCAACGGCGATTACAGCTCAAGGTCTCAACCACAAACACGATGCAAACCCAAATCTGATCAAGATGTTGGACACAATTTCTCCATTTCAACCAAGAAATGTTACTTTTCACCTCCCTCCAGACCCACAGATTTCTCCCACTAAAGTCCCTGCCCTGTTCGTAATTGGCGATTCTTCTGTTGATTGTGGGACCAATAACTTTCTTGGAACATTTGCTCGTGCTGATAGGCTTCCTTACGGGAAAGACTTTGATACACATCAGCCCACTGGACGTTTCTGCAACGGAAGAATCCCTGTTGACTACATTGGTAATTTCCTGTTCATTTTTTCTTGATTTTTGACTTGGGTTTTTAGATGACCCAATGGAGTTCGAGAGGATGGGAATAATGATTATGGGGTGCTTCGTTTTTTATTTTCTTGGAGCTGAGCCGGGCTGATTTAATTTTATTATTATTTTTCCAGTTAATTAGTTTCTTAACTTAGAAGAAAATGAAAAACCGAGTATGTTTCTTGGGCTGTTTCTTCTTCATGGATGATTGTCATTTATATCTGGATCTTTTATTTTGTTTGATTTTGATGGTTAATATCAACAGCATTGCGTCTTGGGTTGCCGTTTGTTCCCAGTTACCTTGGGCAAGGTGGTTCTATTGAGGATATGATGAAAGGAGTGAATTATGCATCTGCTGGTGCTGGGATAATTTTCTCCAGTGGCTCTGAATTGGTAAGATATTTCCGCCTGTAGTTGTTTCTTGGTTTTACACAGATCATACTTGGTTGTAAATTGTTTATTTTATCGGTCAAGAAGTGTCGATAATTAGTCAGCTGTAGTACAAGGACTCGGTTGCTGCAAAAGATGAAAATGATTATATGTCAAGATCCTAGTTAACTTGGCTGTTTATTGAGATGATAGGAAATGATGATTTTGGAGTTTTTCTGCTTTTGATGTTAAAACTGATCAGTTCTATTAGTCCTTTGATGCTTTTGGCACTTCAATAGAATCTGATGATGAAGCATTTGTTACCTGATACGATTACCCTATTTCCCTGCTTGTTACTTTGATTGTGGTCAAATTTATGCAGGGTCAACATATTTCTCTGACACAGCAAATTCAGCAAGTTTATGACACAAACCAACAGTTCATACTGAACATTGGTGAGGATGCAACAGCTGATCTGATGTCAAGATCTATATTTTACATATCGATTGGCAGCAATGACTACATACATTACTATCTTCGTAATGTGTCTAATGTGCAATCTGCGTACCTACCTTGGGGTTTCAACCAGTTCTTAGCAGATACAATGAAGGAGGAAATTAAGGTGATTATTTTGCTTCATCATTTTATGGCCTTGTGTTTACACAGCAACTAAGAAAATATCTCCACAAGAAACATGTCCTCTTCATCTGCAATGCTTCACAAAAACAGAACTTTCTTGGCCCCTGCATCCCTGGGTCCAAAAAATATCAGGAGTTGCCTGCCCCTTTTTGGTTAATTGGTATAGATACTAAAATTCCCTGCAATTCATGTCCTTTAGGAGTATATAGTTGGAATTTTTTTTTTCATTTTGTTTTAAATATACCGTTGTAGTCCCCTGGTAAAATGTTGAGCAAGCATCTCTTTCACAAGGTGTTCAGTTGTAATTGTTCTTTCTTCCCAATTGAGCATTTTCAGTGTGACACATTGCTTAAGCTTTCTTCAGAATTCATCTAAGGTGTAATGTTTGAACAGAATTTGTACACTGCAAACGTCAGAAAAGTGGTTGTGATGGGACTCGCCCCTTTGGGATGTGCTCCTTACTATCTGTGGATGTATGGCAGCAAACATGGGAGGTGTATTGAGAAGATAAATGACATGATAATGGAGTTTAACTATGCTATGAGATACATGGTTGATGAACTAAATCAGGAGCTCATGGACTCCAACATAATCTTCTGTGATGCATTTGAAGCTTCAATGGACATAATCAAGAATCATGACCATTATGGTGAGATCTTATGGTTTCACAATGATCAAATCATTTGAACTGGTAGCATTTTGTCTTATGCCATCACTTTTTGTGCTGTCCCAGGTTTCAATGTTACTGCAAATGCTTGCTGTGGTTTAGGGAAATATAAGGGTTGGATAACATGCCTTACTCCTGAAATGGCATGCAGTAATGCTTCAAATCACATTTGGTGGGACCAATTTCATCCAACAGATGCAGTAAATGCTATTTTGGCTGACAATGTATGGTCCGGTTTGCATACCAATATATGCTACCCCATGAACTTGGAGGACATGATTGCTCAGAAGCAAAATGATTAGACATGGAAGCGCAGCAATTGACAAACTCTCCATGCATTAGACGGGAATTTTGTTTTGCTTCTGAGATCCTGTCAAACGTATTTTGTAGCGTACTTGGTTGATTTTGAAGCAACGTCAAACACCGATGAGGCAGATTTGAGTATAAACTTTTTTGTTTTTCCATTTGATGCCTTGGTGGATATAACATGTGATTTTCCTCTTATAAGCACTTCCTAGCCTCAGTTTGCTTCTTGATTTATCCCTCAATTATATTATCGATCGTACATGCAGAATGGAAAGGCTTTAAATGTTGAACCAAAACACCATCTTAAAAGGTTTCACATCGTACTTAAACTGCAACTTCACGTCAAACTTATTCTACATAAACACTTCATCTGTTCAGTGTTCAAAGGGATGTGTTTTGCCATCCTTTAATTACTCTCTGCATCATTTAACAAGTCTAGTTGGTCATAACATCCTCAAAACGCCTTGGTAATCCCATCTTCCGGCTCAGATTTCAGCACAAAACTAGGAAATGCCGTAGTTATATCCCTGCAAATAGAGGGAGGGGGGAAAAAAAAAGAAGTAATTTGTCTTCCGAAAGGAAAAAACTAGGACAACTAATAATTTTTTATTGGATCAAGTAATCATACCATTTTCAGCAAAATAAGCCTATTTATTCTGTCCAAAGAATTTCGATTGTCCGCAATTTCAAATGCTTTTTAATCTTTCCACCTAGTCAACTATAGACTTAAAGCAATTTGATTGACTAAGTTGAAGCATGGGGAAGAGGTGAATAACCAACAGCATATTTGCCTCTATTATGAATTTAAACTGGTGTGCTCCAAGTCAAACAATCTCCTTGCTTGCATTGAGTGCTGAATAAGTTTGCTTTTCGAGTATTTACACCTTTGAGATGGTAAAATTTTCAAGAGGGCTTAAGCTAGTCCATTCCAGGACTTGACTTTGCAACTGAATGAATAAGAGAGATTTACTTCAGGTATGGAATTGTCATGTTCTTTAGTAAGGATGGATTCCGGGCAGCAAAATCCTTAAATTCTTCCGTGTCAATCTTTCCGTCTCTCTTTGAATCAGCTTCTTCAAATGTCTTCACAAAACCGTACCATATAAGGCAGGGAATACTCGTAAAAAGGTAAAACAGACTCCAGATTTAGAACTTAAATTCTATTTATACCTTGCTGATTATGAGTTCAACAGTATCATCGGACAGCGTCAAATCTGACTCATCTAGGAATGCCAAAATCATCTCCTTGACCTAATATGGAATGAGAGAGGAGCATGCATGACCACTTAAAATGTCTTAAGCTCTGAATTTCACAATGGTAATATTTGACTTACCTCCTCAGTTTCTATAAATCCTGTCTGCCAAATGTCATATAGTCCGAATGCAACTGCATCACAGAAAAAGTTTTAATGCAACCTCAAGCCTGCATAATTTTCTATTTGCATTCGAAATGTACTACTACTTGTAGAGGATGAATTTCCATACAAGCAACTTTTTTGGCTTCAGGTGTGTCGGGGTGAAAGATGCTCAAAGATCGGACAAACTCACCAAAATCTATCACTCCATCATTCTTGTAGTCAAATAAATTGAACATCTGCAGAGGTTGACAGAGATAAAACATCATAATGGCTACAGAGAGATAATAGTTAAGCCTGGGATTTGTGAATAACATTCATTATGCTGTATATTCCATCAACAAACAGCATAAAGCCGGCTTACCCTATCTGCAAAGAATGACTGCTTCTTGCTATTTTGAACCAATCCGAGCTGAAACTCTTCCTGCCAAAGCTAATACTTATGAACAAGTGCTGAAAAGTGGTACTGCGTTTTTTTAGTTGCTGATTGGAACATCAGCAGCAATCTTTTGCAGGAGTAGTAATTATGAAACACGCAAAACAAGTGATAAAACCTACTCTGCTGATAAATCCATCATCAATTATAGAGCTGCTTAATTTCTTGAACAACTTGTACAACAGTTTCACCTCCCTCACAGTAACTGCAGCCATGTGTAGTAAATTTGAAAAAGATGTAATGTGTATAATAACCTCCTAAAAGAGAGGCGGCGTTCTAGCTCACTCACAATGTGTTTCAGATGCAAGAACAGATGGATCTTCATGATATACCTGATGCCGCTGCTTCATACACCAATTTCCCATGTAGAAAGCTACGTGCTTCTATTTTTAGTTACTACAGAGATTCATTAGGACATGTGTGTATCTAAAACCAAGCAGTTCGAACTTTGTGAGCATTAATCTCCAACAACACTGAAGTCAATTATATATGCGAAGAAGTTAGATGTAATGGTGTGAATGGATACCACAGTCCGAAGGAGTTCTCTTTCTAAAAAAATCCACGAAAAATAAAAAAAGGCAACGGTTTATACTCTTTTCCCAAAAAAAAATTGCTCTTCTTGACCGTCTATTTTGAGTGGTCATCCACGTCACTTCTCTCAGGAGTCGCGATTCCTGTCCGAGAAAAGGAAATTGGAACCGCAAAATCTCATCCCACTCCAAATCAAAAGAGCCCTGATTCTGAATTCTGGATAAAAATGGAAAAATCATCGGCTTTTATGAAGTAAGTTTCCATTTTCAAATGGAAAGTTGATTCGAGCGTCAAATCTTTCTCTATTTGGTTTGATCACGCGCGCATGTGCAATGGCCATAAACACTACGTACAAGCACAAAATATCCTATGGCTTTCGTAAATTTGCTTTGGAATCTGGTGCCGTTACTTTTCTAGATGGAACTTGCTAAGAATAGATTTCTTCTGTCAATCCAACCAAATGCTCTCGAACTGATGGCAGATAAGCTAATTTTACTTCACTTTCAATCTGCAAGGAATTTCAACAAGCAACCGGTTTATTCCCTCGATAAGCTCATCATTCTTCTCCCCTGGATGACAAAGATTTTGGAACAACAAATGCAAATGTGGCGTGACATGCAGGATTTCTTGGCAAAACTAAAATATTAAAGATTTTAGACCAGAAGTTGCAAAGGATAGATGTAGGGCGGCCATGCATGGTAACTTATTCATGTAACTTTTCAAGATCTCAGATAATACATTTGAAAGATCTCTGCAACCAAAAGCTTTTGAAAGATCAGATATATTTTTCCATTACGTGGTGCTCTATGAGTTGAGATCAGATAAGAAAGAGCAATAGTAATTAAAAACGCATCATATGCTGATGGTTCAGGAGGATAAAAATGGCAAACTAGCTAACAGAGGATTGATAGTGAATTGACGACTGATTTATATCAGGCTATGTTTTTTAATGTCTGATAGATGGCGTATTAAAACCTGCAAAAAGAAAATGCTTCTCGTTGATTACACCACGAGAATTTGGTACGCTTGGTCGGTTGGTTGTCATTTTAAGAGAAGAGTTCTGAATCTTGAACACGCGTCTTCATCACAAAACTTGGAAATGCCAAAGTTATCTCCCTGCAACAGGGGACTCTGAATTTGAATCTCATACAAGCAACAAGACATGCCGGAGTCACTTGAAAGGAAAAAAAAAAAAAAAAAACACAAGTAATCAGCTAAGACAAGCTCAGATTGCAAAAGGTCATTCCTGGGCATCGGTCAGTTCGTGCCTACTGCAAAAGATGTACTTGCACAACTAGCATTTTCAAAGTTTATCGGTCAGAAGACATGATGATGTTTTTTAAAACTAGCCAACATATTAACCAAGCAACAGTCGTTCCAGATATATGAAGGTAGGTTACCGGAGAAGTGATCACTTACTTTAAATGTGGAAGAGTCATGTTTTTTATGACTGAAGGATGCCTTGCCACCAATTCCTTCCATTCTTCTGGATCAATCCTCCCATCACCTTTTAGATCTGCCTCCATGATTGTCTGTTAAATTTTCAACTCAGACAAGCTCTCATTAATTGATAAGAGGATATAGGAGGACCAGACTACACAACTCTAAAGTTGATGCATCTAACTGTATTTTTCACCACCTTATTTACGATTGCTTCAACGACGTCATCTGGAAGTGTCAATTCTGATTCACGTAGAAGAGCCAATACCATTTCTTTCAACTGCAAAGAATTAAGTTCGGAGATCATTTCTAACTTCATGAGGGAAAAAAAAAAAAACCGTTTGTGTCTACAAAACTCGTAAGCTGAAGCAGCTAAATTAGCAAACCAAATCGTTTGTTTACAGATACTCTAGCAATCACGATGCTATCTCGTTCTTAGCTAGCATAATATTTCTTAACATTATTAGCTTTGCACAATACGCTCCAGATTCTACATTGGACTTGAGACAGTATATGCTTCTAACTTCCTCTTGCTTTGTTTTATGACTAAATTCAAATGTGAATGCAGGAGGGGCACCGTGATCAGATGCAGATGGAGGCCACAAGATGTGCGTTTCTGGTCATTCAGAGAAATCATAAGTTCACGATGCAATAAGTAATTGAAGGATACCCATTTTGGAAAACTCCGTAACTACTGATAAAAGAAAACCTGAGGTAAAATTTTTAGACAGACCACTGGCAGAAGCCAGTTTGATGCGCTGAAAAGAATATATGCTGATTTTAGTTGAAGATGGGAAATGAAAACCTGATAGATCTTATAAGATATGCCAATTTCCAAGCATCAAGATTGATATCCCGGATTCAAGCAGACTTATTCCGAGTAACATACCAAACGAATTGAACAGCACGCATGAGTGAGATGCCACCCTATACCATAGTTAACTCTCAACTCAGCTACATAATAAAACAGCCAAAGAATTGAATAACTGCCAATCTAGGTATGTACCTCATCATGTTCGATATAGCCAGTGCACCTCAAGTCATACAACTTAAAGGAAACTGAAAAGGAATCTCCTTAAGTTAGCTGCAGGAAGTTGCATTGTACCATTTGATGATCGCAAATCTTAAAATATTCAAATATTTCAACTAGGCCATGAGGTACAGCAGAATAAATATTTCTAGAATCACCAACTGTATTCCTTACAAGCAATTTTGTCTGCCTCTGGTGCTCTTGGGTGAAAGATGCTTAAAGAACGAACAAATTCTCCAAATTCAATAACTCCATTATGCTTAAGATCAAACAAATCAAACAACTGCAATTGTGAGAGAACACGGAACAGAGTTTTGTTAGCTTTTGGAGGATGAGGGACAAGCATGCTTGATAAGGGTAATAGAAAGAGTTCATAGCAAAGCATCAGCACAGAAAAAAAAAGGACATTTTCTATGAAAATACTGATTAGATGAAGTCAGGGCCAGAAAATTATTTCATAATCTTAAGTTCATCCCGGCTTCTGACCTTTGCTGCCATTAATTGAGAGACAAAACTTTGAACCATTATAATGTTTCTTTAGAGAACATACCACATTTTCCATCTAAATCTGAATTTGAATTTGGCAGTATAGTAATTTTAGATCATACGCTATTGTTTTGCTTTATTTTTTTTCTGCAACGCTGATGAACATAAATGGTGCAGCAATCCTTTCTTGAGAAACTTTACCATGCCCTCAGTTAGCAATAATTTCCAAAAAAAAAAAAAAAGGGCAATCGTTTGATGAATAAGAATAAGACCAAATCACAAACCCTGTCTGCAAAGAATGTATGCTTATTGCTGCTATCAAGAAGAGCAAGCTGAAAATCTTCCTGCAAGAAAGCACAAAGTAGAGTTACAAACGATGCACAAAGCAAAGTTGGTGGAAATAGATGCATGCAAGAAGGTTTTGATCCCTCTGATGAAAAAGCACTCAGCCTACCGTATTGATGAAAAAACAACTCAATACGGGAGGATGAGGAAACCAGATATTGACGTTCATGATCCTTCTATATGATACTGTTTCAAAGTTCAACCCTAATAACTCAAGATATCTCCAGTGAAAAAGTTGGGAGACAAATTTTGTGGATTAGTCTGAAGTTTGTCTCTTCTTACAATTACGGAAGACAGAAAAAGAGAAAGATATTGGAGTCATGTTCTTAAAGAAACAGAAATAACAAGACATATGGGCAGTTAATGTCTTGGATATGGACTAATGTGCATGTTAACATCATTAAAGGACAGAACTGGTGAGATTTGATATCATGCACCTTCAGAAAGTTTGACGTAGTACCTTGTGAAGAAGACCATCATCAGTGATGGAGCTGCTTAGTTTCTCATACAGAGTATAGAGAGCGTCTACTTCATTCACGGTAACTGTCAAATGAAATTGAGCCATTACGACTTAGAATTTTTCACTAGATTAACCGGTCAACTGGACACAAAAAATGAAACATAAAACATCATCTAGGACAGAAAGCTCTAGAAGAAGGTTATATCAAATTGTTATGGATTAAAGATTACTATTGAAAAGAGTAATATACCACTGACAGTTCACTCTTCTGAAATGGCCTTTGTGACTTTATTAAAAGCCAGTTCAACTGTCCTTGCATTACAATTTAGACAACCAGCACTACACTTTCTATGCAAGTGCATCAACTTATTTGCAGTTGAAAATCAAAGATGATAGGTGATCAAGGCCTAGTTATATTGCAGTTCCACGAAAGATAATTGAACACTGTTGCATATATCCACTCACAAGATGTCTCAGAAGCAAGTATAGAATGCTCCTCAAGAGTTGGACGTCCAGCTCTCTTCAAGCAAAAGCAGCTTGCCATGGAATTCATATTCCTGTAGCAAGTTTGTATACCTGCCCCCGAAACTCAATTGCGTTTGTTAAGAACTGCACCTGCCGTAAGAGTAAAAGAGGCAAACTAAGTCCAGCAAATCAAGACGCTTTCATCATAGGAATAGCGAAATAAAATTTGCAAGAGTTGGGGAGTGGTCGGACTTTAGACTGAGGTTTAGTAGCAGCTGTTGTCAATGGTCATGGGCAGAGTTACTCTGTCGGAAAGACAGCAGAGTGAATTTAATAGTTCAATTAGCAATTTCCGTCCTAGTAAACGCAGCTAAATCAAAAGGTTTAACTGTGTATCCGCATTGTGTTTTAAGTCAAAAAACACTGCTCTTCAGAACATGAACATAGCATCTTTAAATGAATCAAAAGTGGTATTTTTTGCCAGGCAAGCAACTAATATCAATAGGCAACCAATCATGTTTGATGACTTATTTGTCCGTCACAGAATTTGACAAATGTCCAGCCGACCAAGAACAACTCAATTTCCTTTAGCTGGCTAGCTGAACCACTAGAGTGAATCTTAGGATTCTACTGAATTCATCATAGTAAATCCATGCAGCACCATCCTACTCAAGATTAGCATCGTAAAAAATATCAATAAGAGAACAGCATCAATATGCAACTGAAATTCAACATCCATCTATTTTTTGGGGAAATACAGTTTACTTAACCTCATTTTTCTGTTTAAGAAAACAAAGTGAACAATTCGCTTCGTGTTTCAGGAATTTCTTGAGTACTGACCAAAACCCCAATGGTAGACGAGGAAGCCAATAACAATAAAATTAACAAGGATGGTCAGGATGCTGGTTGAAATGATAACGAGAAAACAATTATAAATTGTCATGCAAGTCCTCATTATCGGATATCACTTAGCTCCGCGGTGCATAGAGTTGAGACCTGAAAGCGCAGCTACCAAAAACACTTTATGTTTTCATTGTACTAAATAGAATATACAGCACCGATAAACTCAGGCGACCTTCTGAGATCGGAACAGAGATAACCGTTCCAATACCAATCTATGTCAAATATACAGAATTTGGTTTTATTCTTTAAAAGACCACTTGGGATTGGTGGCTTTTGGCATGGACCGCCCTGGGATGGTTGCGAGTTCTTAAACATTTCTCCAGGTAACACCGCAACTGATTGAAACAGGAAGACGCAGAAACAATATGAGAAAATAAGTCAAAACAAAAGCACTTTTCAACTTTTCCACTCTAATGCGGCAGAGTCTAATGCAGCAACTTTTCAACTTGCTAACATATAGCGCACAATAGTGATGAAGAAAAACATCCACAAAAAGCACTTGGGGACCAGGAATCCCACAAGTCGACAAGCAACATCGTACAAACTCTTTTTGGCATATGTTATATGGAGTTGTAGAAGGATTGTAAAAAATATGGAAACTTAGACAATTACCAGATGTTAACCATATATAATTAGGAGTTGGAATGAAGGAAATAAAAAAACGTAGAAACTCGTGACTTCACCTGTAATTTATTAGTACTATATGCTTCTTTGCTCTTTAGCTGGTGTAGGCTAGCTACATCAAACCGAGTTCATCTTCAGAGTGCTAATCTCTCTCTTTAAATGGTGTATTCCTCTTCTTTCAGTTTTCGGGCTTCTGTTTTATTTGTTCTCGTAGTCTTGTGACAATGCCGGGTCGCAACCGGACCACATTTATTTAGTTGCATTATGCATGGACTGAGCTAATAGTCTAATGCATGCTGCTATCAAGAAATGAATATTTGTCTACATTATTAGTACTACTGTTCTAACGTGTGTGTCAGCAGATCCGGAGAAGATGGTTGACATTTTGTTATCCCGCAAACGCAATGAGGACTAGTAAGAGTCACATTAGCCTTGCACTCGAAAACCATAGTTTAATAGCTGTGCCAAATAAAAACTCAAAGATCAAATCACTGCCATTAGCTTATGACCTAATTTTAAATGGCGTAAGACTCAGCACAACTAGAGAAGGTGCAGTAGTGTTCAATAGAGTAATCAGAAGATGAGACTTGAGAGACCATTCTAGAGAGAGAATGACTTAAAAAGTAACAGGACTATTCTGGCTCGTTAGTTAATTCACGAGTCATAAGGGCAAATCCAAATCAGACCACCTAACTCAAGAAAATTTGGTACAGAAGAAAACAAGGATTAACCTTCTTCTATACACTGACATGACAGTGTATATATTTTCATCATTAGATGCATGATACATAATTCATATTTGAATTTGAAACCCAAATTTTACGTACGTGTGTCATGCATCCAACCGTGATAGTACATACACTGTCAGTCAGTGTATATAAGATTTATTCAGAAAAGAAAACAATGGTCATTTAGAACTATTACACTGCTAGCAAGGCACCTTCTAAGTTCTATCCCCTCCACGGGTCCTGCCTCTTCTGTCCACGCTTTAGGTCAGAAGAGTGCACTTTCTGGATTCACTACAGTTCAGCAGCGACCCTTGCCCAAACAAGAAATTTAAAATTCATGGCCAACTCACCTAAACGAGTTGATTTATGAACATTACTACATTGACAATTAATTTTGCATCAATCTGTTGGTAGATAGCAAAAGGACATTTGTGTTTCTGCTATTGGTGATGTTCGAATTTACGCAGCAGGAGAGAAGTAACAGAATACCAATACATCACCGTCCACAATGTGAGAATTGCAGAGAAGCTTCGCCAGTTGTGACCTTCCCAACCGAGACGCGGTCCGTTTGAGCCTTGAGGTGAACGACACCTTAGTCACCCATTTATTTTATTTAATTATTTTGCTACGAATAATATAAATATTTTCTAGTTTCTTTGGTAAAAATTGTGATGTTTGTCCAATCCTGTGGTCTTTGGATTAATAAAATAAGCAAGAAGACGCGCACAAAGTCATGAGATAGCTTTTTTTTTTTTTTTTTTTTTTTTTAATTTTCTTCCCCAGTAGCAGGACATACAAAATTCTTCCAAGTACAACACACTACTGTTATTTATGTCCACTTTACACTCCTTGTTTGTGCGCACACAAACCACACTAATAACAAAAAATAAAGAGCAAATGGTAAAAAACAAAAAAAAAATCGCTCAATTATTTAAAATTATATCGTTTGGTCATTAAACCTTTTTTTTTTGTTTTCTTTTTGGCAAAAGTCATCAAAGTCATTTCTTTGAATTCCGGTACTAAAATAGCTGAAAATGCATCCATGTGACCAGTCCACTTTTAGATTCTCAGAGACTAAAATGTCTCACAGTCTTTGATACATATTACTAGAAACAAAGATTGAGGGCTTTTTGAATTTTCAAACTTCACTTATTCTCTTCAGATTTTGACCCATTTTTTCCGAGCACGGTTAAAGATTACAATCGTAATATGAGAAGATCCTTAATCTCTTTTCAAATTTCTTTTTTTTGTTTTTTGTTTTTAGTATAAGTGAGAGATCTCACATCAAATCTGAGACTTTTTATTTATACTGTTTTTTTCTTTATCATTCAATTCATCCCTTTTCGAAAAGATTGTGAGATATTTTTGGTGTTAAAAACCTAAGCGTATTATTTGTATAATTTCATTTTCAACTATTTTAACACTAGAATTCGACAAAATGATCAAAAAAGATACACTATTACGAGTTTAGTGACCTTGTCGGCTAAAGAAAATATTTGGTGACCGGACGGTGCAATCTTACATAATTGAGTGATTTTTTCGGCATTTTTACTAAAAAATAAACGAAGGAAATGGAGGAGGGCTCGTCGAGCGGTGGCAATGGCATTATCAACTCTGACCGGAATATACAAGGAAAGGGCCGGAAGCGGTGTTTCCACGACCAAATTGAGGCCCCTACACATCTTCAAGGCAGCTATTTTTTCATCTTGGGCCATCGCCAATAAATTGGCTTCTTTCCGCAGCACTCATTATATGGGCTTGAGTACAGGCCCTAAAATGCTAAACAGGACTGGTAGCTTGGACCCATTGCTAGTCACTTTGCAAGAACCATGTACGATACTAAACGAAGACAATGGGGGCCTGTGAGTCCCCCTTTCTCGGCCCCCTTTCTCTCTCTCCCTCTCAGATGATCTTGCCTTTTTTTCTTTTTTCTTTCCCCATTATTATTATTATTCTCCGTTAATCTTTGGGCACATTACAGCTTCAACTGCTATTCACTGCTAGAACTGGTAAAGTCCTAGGTACGAGGCGATCATAAATTGCGTTTCAATTTTACATTGGTTAATTCATTTTCTTCACTCCAAAAGTCGCATCTTTTTTTTTCTGGGGTTAAATTTCAGGTCTATACGAAGCTATGGATGTGGAATTGGTTACAGAAGGAACATCGGATGATGAAGGCTATAGAATTGATGAAAATAATGAGGTCATTTTTCTTTCTAATTCATTTTCATCACCAGAGGCAGTAAAATTGGTTACACGGTTTAGTTCTTCTTACTGTTCAGACCCTAAAAAAATTGATCTCGGGAGTAAAACTTTAATAATCTAGTTTACTTGCTTAGCTTACGGTTTAGTGCTAATTGTTAGAGTAAGTTATTGCTATGAAGAGCAATTCATAGGATTGTAACTCCTGTATTCTAAGCTTGGTTTGATTTCTTATCAAGCTTGAAATTTGCATTCCTGACTGGTGTGATTGTTGGCTTGATTATAACAAGCCCTGGGTGGAATGAGCTTTTATCAACCCAAGCTCGAATCAAGCTCGAGTAGCTTAATTGTTGTTGTTTGTATATATCACATTCTATACTTACCAAGGTGAGCTTTAGAAACCAAGAAACATTAAGTTGTTTTCATGCTGGGTTTGATTATTCGATGAGCCAATTCTTAATGATCTCTATTAATCTGAACTTGAGTTGCGTAACAAGTGACTTCGTTTTGATTCAACCCCATGCGGCGTCTTCCCAGTATCTTGTAGATGAACTATGACCATGAAATTCAAATACTGCCATAGAAGTCAGATACAGATTTTCGGGGAGTGCCCTAAATTTCAGTTTATTCTCCAAAATGTTCCAAAAAAATTGATTCATTTTCTCTGGCTTCCTTCTGTTTTCAACTCTGATTTTTGATGATTGTGTTTAGTTTTTCATTTTTTTTAATCATAATATAAGTTTCTATGTGTTGTGACATTGACAAGATAAGCAATTTTTGATAAATTTGCTGAAGAATGGTGAATGTGTGTTATTGTGCCTCTAATGGGCTTCTTTCTTTTCAGGTATATATGAATTTTGACGGTGAAAGATGTGGTATTTGTATGGATATTGTCATTGACAGAGGAGTTCTTGATTGTTGTCAGCACTGGTATGTGTTTGATCACTCTATATAGCACTAAACTTTTTTGTATTTCTGGTGGTGAGGGTGGGCAAGGATTGGCTGAGGTGGGGGCCCTTGGTGGTATTTGTCACTCAGTTGTTTTACTGGTCTTATGTCTATTCAGAAGAGACTAGTATCCTTTTGCTGGTGTACTAAATACATATCCATACTCCTGCAATATTGTCATGAATATTGGCTCAATATGTTTAACTTTCTGATTTATGTTTTCATAGTCCTTAGTGACTCTGACATGTATATCTTATGGTAGTCAGCCTATGGTAATTTTTAGACATCAAACATTCGTATTCTGGTTAATGTGATTAGTTAAGATGCAATTTAGTGGAACTATATCTCCTGATTCTGTTACTAGTTTTGAAGTTAATCCAGCTTGTCTGGATCACATGTAAATTATGACCTGAGCTTATGATTCAAATTTCAGGTTCTGTTTTACATGCATTGACAACTGGGCTACAATCACAAATCTATGCCCGCTTTGCCAGAATGAATTTCAATTGATCACATGTGTGCCTGTGAGTAACAAAAATGTTAGACGGTTCTTGGTTATTGCTTCTATGACCACCTTTTAGTTGATTTTCATACTATATTCTGGCCAAAACCCTATTTACTCTGGATAATGCTTATTCATTCTCTTGGTCCTTGTGCTGTAATTTCTTGGAGAATTGTCATAGAGCCTGTTAAAAAAGCTCTTGAAGAAATTTTTAAAGAAGCTGCTGATGCATGATTCTTAATTGTGAAGGTATATGATACTATTGGTAGCAACAAGACTGATGAGGATTCATATTCCAGGTAGTTTTATTTTCTAGATGCTCTCAGTATTCTATAGTGTGTGCTACTATTTCATCGAATGAAAGTGCTACAGTTGTTTTTGTCAATTAGGTGTCTCAGACATTGTAATTTGTATTTTGTCTGGTCTGTGCAGGGATGATGATTGGTGCATTGAAGGAAAGAATAACACTCTTTCTTTTCCATCATATTATATTGATGAAAATGTAAGGCAATGAAGTCATCTAGTGGTTCATGGAATTGTGATTTTAATGCCATCAATGGTCTACCAACTTTCAGAAATCATTAACTTTGTACCTTATCTATTAGAGAAAGGTCTAGATGAAGATACACACATCTGGCATTGTGAATTTAGTAATTGATTTTAGCTTATTTGATAACATGAGAAGATTGCTTCAACATTGAGTTTATAATGACTATGTCATGATTCAGGATCTGCCACATACTGCATCTTCCTATGGGTCTTTCGAAAAATAGTTATGATGATGAAACAAAGCATATGCC